TCCCCGCCCGCCACGCCCCCCGGAGACAGCAGGATGCCAATGCTACGAGCGCTAGCAGCCCTACGAACGGAAAACCCACCCTAAAATCAAAGCACAAATCGGCGAGTATCGAACCCAACAAGCCCCTATAAACCCTAAAGCCGAAAGGCCCGGCTAGCAAATGACCTGACCTGAACTGGAGCACGCCGCGAGCCCGTTGAGGCCGCCCTGGCAACCAGGGGAATTAAGTTTGGGCTTGGAAGCTCGCAACCCTGCAACACTTTTGTTATTTGTGTTTGGACATTCATGCGGTTGCATTCGATGAGTGATGTCAAATGTGTTTGATAGCAAAACCAACCTAACACAGCTTAACGTCATACACTTGGCTTTTCTTCAGTGCCATCACTATGATGGCCGCTGCTAAGTAACTTGAACTGACATCACAGTCTGCGGGCGCACTTGCGACTTCAGATGAAGCATCGCAGACAGGAAGATCTGGTGTGGTGGTTGGGAAAACTTGTGAAATCGGAACATGAAATGTCTCAAGGCACAGCGATGACCGAAGTGCTGACCGAAGTTGTTCCGAGGCTGAGGCGCAGGTGGGAACGAGGCCGGGGGATAGCAAGCCTGCAAGGAAGACGGTCTCAATGGATTTCAAGAATTCGGGTTGCAGAACTTGGGGGTTTCTTAGGAAAAAGAGTTGCAGGAAATTGAAGGATTTTGGGCTTGGGGCAGGCGCCGGATTTTGCAGGCTTGGGGGGGGGGGGGGTTCTAGGTTTGTGGGCAGAATGGTGTAGATTGTAGACATGAAGAAATCGGGCAATCGGGTTGGAATAACCCTCTACTTATGCTTTGCAACTACCCGGCAACTCCTGCATTCAGTCCAAGGCAAACATCAACACAAGCGCCGTGGCGTGTTGATTGGTTGGTACACTTCGAGTCCTCTTTGCTTCTTACATCGGGAAGCCCTCAAGCTTTCCCACTCAGACTGAACTAGAAAAAACACATGAGTCACAGTGATGGCCGGTCAGGGTCGGAAGAGCTCAGTCGTTTAAGTCTACCCCTCCAAAGAGCGCAGTGCGGCACATCAGCCGCAAGCCCACGAAAACTACAGCCTTCCCTGCTTGATTCTCCTTCCAAAAACCATCCGGCCCCAAACGCCCTAAAACCAGCAACTCACCTGAGCTGGAGCACACGGCCGCGAGCTCGCGGAGGGCGCCCTGGTTTTCCGATTTTAGGCTAGGGTTCTGCAAAGCTTCTCGGATTTCGAGGACCTGGAAGGACCTCGCCAATTGCTTAGGTTATTCCCAGAGAGCCGATAAGCCCACAAACCCAGAGACCCTGAATGTTCAGGAGGAAATGGAAGAGCCGCAAGGCCCAACCGAAGTGCTGACCGAAGTTGATCCGAGGCTGAGGCGCAGGTGGGAACGAGGCCGGGGGATAGCAAGCCTGCAAGGAAGACGGTCTTTGGGCTTGGGGCAGGCGCCGGATTTTGCAGGCTTGGGGGGTGGTTCTAGGTTTGTGGGCGGAATGTTGTAGATTGTAGACATGAAGAAATCGGGCAATGGGGTTGGTTTGGGCCGTTCCCCACGCCGAGCTCCGGGCTGTTACAAGCTGAGCATTACAAGTACCTCAAATGCGGTTGCAACTAGCTACAGGTATAGCAATCCTACTTAACCCTCTACTGATACTTTACAACTACCTGCAACTCCTGTATTCAGTCCAAGGCAAACGTCAACTATCACCGACACACGTTCTGCCAAGACAAAAATCTTACCACAAGCACGTGGCGTTTTGATTGGTTGGTACACTTCGAGTCCTCTTTGCTTCTTGCATCGGGAGGCCCTCAAGCCTTCCCACTCAGACTGAACTAGAAAAACACAGGAGTCACAGTGATGGACGGTCACAGTCGTTTAAGCCTACCCTCCAAAGAGCGCAGCGCAGCACATCAGCCGGAACCCCATGAAAACTAAAGCATTCTCTGCTGACTCTCCTTCCAAAAACCATCCGGCCCCAAACGCCCTAAAGCCAGCAAACTGACCTGAGCTGGAACACACGGCCGCGAGCTCGCAGAGGGCGCCCTGGTTTTCCGGTTATAGGTTAGGGTTCTGCAAAGCTTCTCGGATTTCGAGGACCTGGAAGGACCTCGCCAGTTGTTTGGGTTATTCCCAGAGAGCCGAAAAGCCCACAAACCCAGAGACCCTGAATGTTCAGGAGAAAATGGAAGAGCCGCAAGGCCCAACCGAAGTGCTGACCGAAGTTGTTCCGAGGCTGAGGCGCAGGTGGGAACGAGGCCGGGGGATAGCAAGCCTGCAAAGGAAGACGGTCTCAATGGATTTCAAGAATTCGGGTTGCAGAACTTGGGGGTTTCTTAAGGATTGCAGGAAATGATGTTGCAGGCTTTAAAAAAGGTTTTGGGCTTGGGGCAGGGGGGGTGAGGGGTTCTAGGTTTGTGGGCAGAATGGTGTAGATTGTAGACATGAAGAAATCGGGCAATCGGGTTGGAATAACACTCTACTTATGCTTTGCAACTACCCGGCAACTCCTGCATTCAGTCCAAGGCAAACATCAACACAAGCGCCGTGGCGTGTTGATTGGTTGGTACACTTCGCGTCCTCTTTGCTTCTTACATCGGGAAGCCCTCAAGCTTTCCCACTCAGACTGAACTAGAAAAAACACATGTGTCACAGTGATGGCCGGTCAGGGTCGCGAGCTCAGTCGTTTAAGTCTACCCCTCCAAAGAGCGCAGTGCGGCACATCAGCCGCAAGCCCACGAAAACTACAGCATTCCCTGCTTGATTCTCCTTCCAAAAACCATCCGGCCCCAAACGCCCTAAAGCCAGCAACTCACCTGAGCTGGAGCACACGGCCGCGAGCTCGCGGAGGGCGCCCTGGTTTTCCGATTTTAGGCTAGGGTTCTGCAAAGCTTCTCGGATTTCGAGGACCTGGAAGGACCTCGCCAGTTGTTTGGGTTATTCCCAGAGAGCCGAAAAGCCCACAAACCCAGAGACCCTGAATGTTCAGGAGGAAATGGAAGAGCCGCAAGGCCCAACCGCAGTGCTGACCGAAGTTGTTCCGAGGCTGAGGCGCAGGTGGGAACGAGGCCGGGGGATAGCAAGCCTGCAAGGAAGACGGTCTGGGCTTGGGCAGGCGCCGGATTTTGCAGGCTTGGGGGGTGGTTCTAGGTTTGTGGGCGGAATGTTGTAGATTGTAGACATGAAGAAATCGGGCAATGGGGTTGGTTTGGGCCGTTCCCCACGCCGAGCTCCGGGTTGTTGCAAGCTGAGCATTACAAGAACTAGCTACAGGTATAGCAATCCTACCTCTAACCCTCTACTAATACTTTGGAACTACCTGGCAACTCCTGTACTCAGTCCAAGGCAAACATCAACTGTCACCGCCACGCGTTTTGCCAAGACAAAAACCTTACCACAAGCACCTGCGAACTATTCCGCCACTTTTTTTGCCAAGACAAAGGCCTTGCTATAAGCACCTGCGAACCATCACCGCCACGCTTTTTTGCCAAGACGAAAACCTTTCCACAAGCTGCGAACTATCACCAGCACGCGTTTTGAAAAAGCAAAAACCTTACCGCCACTCGTTCTGCCAAGACAAAAGCCTTACCACAAGCACGTGGCGTGTTGATTGGTTGGTACACTTCGAGCCCTCTTTGCTTCTTACATCGGGAAGCCCTCAAGCTTTCCCACTCAGACTGAACTAGAAAAAACACATGTGTCACAGTGATGGCCGGTCAGGGTGGCGAGCTCAGTCGTTTAAGCCTACCCCTCCAAAGAGCGCAGCGCAGCACATCAGCCGGAACCCCATGAAAACTAAAGCATTCTCTGCTGACTCTCCTTCCAAAAACCATCCGGCCCCAAACGCCCTAAAGCCAGCAACTCACCTGAGCTGGAGCACACGGCCGCGAGCTCGCGGAGGGCGCCCTGGTTTTCCGATTTTAGGCTAGGGTTCTGCAAAGCTTCTCGGATTTCGAGGACCTGGAAGGACCTCGCCAGTTGTTTGGGTTATTCCCAGAGAGCCGAAAAGCCCACAAACCCAGAGACCCTGAATGTTCAGGAGGAAATGGAAGAGCCGCAAGGCCCAACCGAAGTGCTGACCGAAGTTGTTCCGAGGCTGAGGCGCAGGTGGGAACGAGGCCGGGGGATAGCAAGCCTGCAAAGGAAGACGGTCTCAATGGATTTCAAGAATTCGGGTTGCAGAACTTGGGGGTTTCTTAAGGATTGCAGGAAATGATGTTGCAGGCTTTAAAAAAGGTTTTGGGCTTGGGGCAGGCGCCGGATTTTGCAGGCTTGGGGGGGGGGGGGGGTTCTAGGTTTGTGGGCAGAATGGTGTAGATTGTAGACATGAAGAAATCGGGCAATCGGGTTGGTCCGGCCGTTCACACGCCGAGCTCCGGGTAGTTACAAGCTGAGGATTTCAAGTACCTCCAAATGCGGCTGCAACTAGCTACAGGTACAGCAATCCTACTTCTAACCCTCTACTTATACTGTACCACTACCCGGCAACTACCCATGCTTGCTTCAGGCTTGCAGCCCTGGAGCAGTCCTGAAACCGTCAAGCTGAAGTGCTCAACACCCTCTAAAGATTCTAAAGCCTTGCCGCATCATCCTACTCTCACCTCCTCGAAAACCCCCCAACGGTGGAAACCCCCCTAGGTAACAAAAACGCTCCTTAACTTCAAGCACGTTTTAAAGACTTCAGGCTTTGTGCTGGGCACCCCTCGACCCCCCAAACATCTGTCAACCAATGGCCTGGCCGTTGGCTGCTGGCGCAGGCGCGGCATGGGTGGTCTGGGAGGGCCATGTCTGATGCGCCCTTGCCACAGGATTGGGCTTTGGGGATGTTCAGGGACTGAAGGTCTTTGGGCCTGAAAGCCTTCAAGCTGGCGTAGCTTGTGCTATGGACTGAGGCTTTGTCACACTGTCACCCAGCCAACGATGACTGAGCCCTGAAGCTGAAGGCCCATGTTCGGGTTGGGAGGTGGGCGATCGAGGAAATAGGGATTAAACGATTATGAGGCTCAAGGCTTGGGGGACTGAGGGTACATGGGGAAGCCGGGTGCATCCAAAATGCGGCGCTGGAGCAGCCGCCTCCAAGCAGACGTGTTGGGCGTTCAAACTTTCGCAAAAATATATGGGACGAATGCCGAAGAACTGCCAGTAGACTCTGGTCTCCAGGCGGGGTGCCGCGGGGTGAGTGTTGATATGGCACAGTCACAAAGAGCATAACTTCAAGTGGGTTTTATGAACATCACCCCTCCCCAGATGACTTTAACCGTAAACTCCCACAGAGACAAACACCAACAAAAAGCAGCCACGAATCCTCGTCGTCGTTCCAACAGTCCCACACGCACCTGTCTTCGCCAAAGCTGAGGCTGTAAACCAACCCCATAGAGGGACATCAGTAACGGTCTACGATATTAGGGTGTACCTTTACCGGCTCCAACTGCAAACCACAGTGCTGATGGGCCGGAATTCGACCCTGAGGAGTCGGAGTCCAGGGCAGGGTTTGCTGGGTGAGGGGACCCACAACTGGCCACAGCAATGCTTGGGCAGCCAAGTTGCGAAGTGTTACTCTGCCGGACCTGCCAGTGTCGAAGTCATATACCCAATCAAGGCGACGACATGAAAAAACATCAAATTTCTGGAGAAATCTCTGGCTCAGGGCCTGCAATCCCAAAGCCACTGAGAGTCCCAGATCCAACAAAGCCTCACCAAGACTCAAGGAGCCCTACTAAGAGACTTTGAGGCCGGCCTCTTGATGACCAACAGCGCTGGTAGGCTGCCTTGGTCGGGAGGTAGCTTAGAGCCAGATCTGCCCAAGTTCTGAAAAACGATGTCAGTTGGAACAGTTCTGCAGGATCTCAGGTCATGACGTCGGCTGGGTTGCTACTGTTTGTGTTTGACCACGCATAAGCCGAACCCATGGTTCACCAGATCTTCACTTCCCACCGAGATTATATGTGCTGAATCCTGGAAGCTCTTCCATGCAACATCGATCGCTGTCCGACCAGCGGCCCACCACCGTCGTCATCCCAGAAGCTGGTCCTGAATGTTTTGAAGTTTCGAGGCTAAAGGTGTGTGGGTTTAGGAAGACCGTACTGCGCAAGGATCGGATAGGTTGTCTGTCTGCCTTCGTGTACCGGATCCGCCAAACGGTCCGAACTTTTTCCCTAAGATGCTCCCAGAGTGCAAACAAGCCGATTTTGTACAGTAAGGGCCCCCACAACAATGTTCCGTTAACACGTCAGCCCATGCATCCGCCGCACAATCAACAAATAATCGGAGATTCAGCCTTTGCTTCGGGTAATTGGCCAAGACACGGAGCGGGCCGCTGCATCGGCGGCAGTGTTGGCTCAAGGAAGGCCTTCAAATATGGGTTTCAGCATTTGGGAGATCTTCGAGCAAGCTTGCTTAGCAGGCAAAGCCGCTTGCGCGGTTGCTGAGCAGAAGCCAAGTCATACGTCAGGAGGTACAGCGTCCAGCAGTCCCTGCAAGAAGGGAAGTCCTGTGTGATGGATGGCCTCCCCACTGCATGAACAATTGCGGCTGAGAGCGAACGGTGGCTCACCGGGCCCTCTTGTTTTTGTAGCTCCTTGGGGCTTGGGAACACAGGGTCCAATCTCCAAACCCCAGACACGGCCAGCCTGGGCCGCTTTGGGTTGTCCGCCATCCCCGGCAGGTGTCCTGGGATCGCTGTACTGAAATGAGTGCTTTGCTTTGGGACTTCTTGGGCTCCAGTCTAATCAGTCTTATCCTGAATCAGGCTAAAAGACGCTTCCCGATGGGATGCCGGGCATGGACTCCCATGCCTAGCGGAGGAGGCTGCTGCGCCATTTACCTGGCAAGGAGGCCCAAAGGTGGACAGGCGCTAGCCGCCGAGTAAATTAACGCAACCCCAACTCGAAACGAACCAGCCCGAACTCCAAGTCATCTGTTTTCGGCTCTTGTGGACAACTTCCTAGAGCTTAGTGTGACAGGGCTTGGCTGCTATGCCCTGATCTGGAGACCATATCGAACTCAAAGTCCAAACCCTGGCCTCAGCATGGAAGACCGCAGGATCATCCCAGACTCTCTCCACTGGAGGGACGACCTGCAGCAATCCACCCGGGGTCGCAGGATGTTGATGCGTGCTGCAAGGCTCTGCCCGAACCCCTACAGTACACCCCAAACCCTGACATATGGGTATAGTCCGGATAGTGCTTAGGGCCTCCAGGGCTGTTGAAGACTTCAGCCGCTGGGTTTTGAAGCCTGCCTGCTAAAGAAAGACTTAGGGTCACGACAATCCAAAGATCAACGCAGCTGGACCTGCAACCCCCGTACCTCGTTCTAAACTTTCTAAATCTGAAGCATTCTTGGCTCCAAATAGGTTAGACGGTTAGAATTCGTCGCTCAGTTCTAGCTTGCATCAAGCCCAACTAGTAGTTTGCAGTCTTGAGCTGCTTAAGCCCATGAACGACAATGGCTGAGGCCATGCCCCAAGTAGCCGTTTAGATGTTTGGCTGCTCTGAACTCGAATCCTTAAACCGTAAAGCCCCCAAAGCCTTGCAACCTCCAAACCCAGCCCCGAGGAACATAAACCCCATGAGCCCCTATGTCCGAAACTTTTCCCGAAGGCTCGAAGGCGATTTTCGGGTTTTGAGTGTTGTATCGGTTTTGGGGCCCAAGCGCTACAGAGTGCAGCCCCGGCACCGCTGAACTCCGGCAGAGAAGAAGGATGCGCTGCTTCAGTTCCTCTCGGGGCACCTCGTCGCTCAGACTTTTTGGCGCGTTTCAACTTTTAGAGTTTAGGGCGCGCCTTGCAGGGGTCGAGGGCTTTAGTAAGACCTAAGCTTCAACGCAAGCCATTCTTCAGACTTTTCCTGCTTAAGGCTTACACTGATTCAGGGTTTAGTGAGTGCGATGCTTCGTTCTTCTCAGTGGTTCAAGTCCGCAGCCTTTGAGCCACAAACTGCGTCCCATCTCCTTTAGTTCTAGATCTCAAGCGAGTTTGGGAGGTGCTCAAGACCTGTAGGCACACACTTCACGTATTCTCTTCGCACGAATGCTACAATACCTTTCCCCGCGAGCGTATCTAATGTTGTTCTCGCGGGAACAAGAATACGAATAATTCGAATGACAAAAAGAACAATAAATTGTAATGAGAATACTATTCATGAAGAAGAAGAAAATAAGGGCGCATGTTTCGTTTGCTGGTTCACCCACGCACTTACAACATGAAGTTCGTGCGTGCATTCATTTCACTAAGTTCTCTTCATCATAAAGACGTATTATTACTAGCGGCCAAGCTTATAGCAAGCCCGCGTAAAAAAAAAAGAGAGCAAAAGGGGGCAATAATAAAGACACTAAAAGAGCCCCCTCTCACTTCTCCCACCCTTTAAAGACCATCCTAAAATATCCCGTCTAGTACCTGAAGCCCTTTCACCGACATCTGAGGGTTAACAGGTGTTGGCTTCGGTGCAGACAGGGGACACCCAAGCTGAACTTCCCACGCGCTTCCACGCCGCACGCGGCCATGGCAACTCTTCTTCACTAAACTTGACAAGGCTTTGCTCGAATTCAATGGCATAGAAGGAAAGGCTACGGCGTCACAGATGCTAACCGCTACTACATTGAATCTGGAGCGCTGCGTGACCTCCTCACAAGCAACGAGCTGGTGAAGTGCCTGTGCTCGCCGATGTTGCCTGTATGCCGTGCTAGGCTCCCTTGGCTGCACGGGCTGCTGGCAACACACGTTCAGATCGAAAACCCTTGCGTGCCTCCTCCCCGGCCAGCTCCCAAAATTCCTCTTGGCCCTCATGCCCGACATGCGGCCACCACCCGCCCTGCGGTTCCAGTCCAACTGGCAATCTCCAAATCCTAACGAAGCCTGAAATCTTTCAACCTCGAAACTCAATTATCAACCTGATGATAAACTCCACCCGGTGGCGAGGCCTCTTGCAGGTGTCGGCACCGCGCGGGAGACTTCTGAGGCAGAGGCCTGGGCAGCCACGGTGTTCTGCCCAACCCTTCATGATATCGTGCCGTTCTGCCTCCGAATGATTGCAGCAAGAGCAAACACCCTCGTCAAAAACACATATGCAAAGTGTATGCTGACGTACATGCTCCAAAGGTCCACGCCCCTTGGCGAGACGGAGGCGCGCTGCTTGGCCTGACATGTGAAGTGCGCTTCTTAGCCTTCCATAAGCCATAAGCCGTGGGAACAAATTGGTTTGCAGCTTGAGGTTTAGACTGTAGACAGGTGTGTTTTAGGATTGAGGGTTGTCAGAAATCTGCATGTTTTTGGCTGGGTTTGTCCACTACATCTGCCGCGTGCCGGTGGACTGTAGCCTCAGTTTGACCCGTAACTTGTTTCGCATGGATGTGCGAAAACGTCTCCGACGCATGCACACACAACTTCGGAGGCCAGACTCAAACAAAAATGCACGTTCCCCCCTAAACTCCCAACCGTATCCGACGAGGCACGCAATCGAACACTAAGCCGCGAAACTGCGAGCAACTAGCTATAATCTGCACGCGAGAATACCACTCTCCGAATGTCTGCAGTTGCAGCTCATTCAAGCCCGAAGCCTGCAACCTCATCACCCTGCGACGTGGTCGCTTAAGCTTGGGGCACTTGGGGGTCACGAAGTCAATAAATGGGCTCATGATTGCTTGAAATATCTCGAGTGGGGAACTTCTCATGGCAACATCAAAAAGAAGAAGATTAGCTGCTCCAGTGTTGGTCCTGCTTAGCGAGACGGGCAAAACTGTTGGCCTGGGTCTTGGTGGCTTCGGAGGCGGCTCCGGCGGTGGTTCGGCCGCCGAGGCCTCTCGACACAAGGCCATGAGGGAGAGGGGGGTCGGGGGGGGTGGGGGGGGTTGGGGTTCAGGTGTTTTGCTGCGCGGATTTTGAATGAGTAGACAAAGTATATGTGTGTCCAAGAGCCCACGGGCTGAAGTTCTGGTCTTGGGCAGAGTTTTTACGCACCCTGCGCGACGCAAGACGAAGTGTGCCATAGTGTGCCTGCAGTTCCTCTTCGAGTTTCTGGTTCTAGAAACAGCCCTACGTGACAGACCACCCAGACCTGGTGTGGCATCCGCTTGCAGCAGGTGCATCCCCGCACGAGAGAAGATTGTCAGTGCAACGTATCAGGCCGCGTTGGCAGGATCGCGTGCAGGACAATTTACTGCCGACGATCAGGAGCTGCCCCTGGCACCTCGCTATGCCGAGGCGTTGAGACCGGGGTGACCGTGGCCGGCGTGGCCGGCGCCCTGCCTGCACTGATCTTTCAGCTGCTGGGAATCCGTAATCTTGGGTTGGAAAACTTCAGGCATGTGATGCCAAGGCATTTCATGGGTTCGGGATTGGGGACAGAAAGGCGGGGCAGAGGGGGCATGTGCCAAGTGCCACCGGACTCCTGAGCTTCCAGATCCAGATCCCCACATCTCCCCTTTGGAGCCTTCGGTTATTAAGGTCTTGGGTAGTAATCAACCTTGAAGCTCTATGGTTTGCACGTTGAGACAGCTTCCATCTTTTGCCGCACAGCGACACTCAGACGATGGCTCAGAAGCCGCACGCGAAACTGTAGGCGGTAAACCTTTGGAAGTGCAGACGTATCCATCTGTCCCAACAGGAACTGCGCCTTCTCCTCAATTCTGCATCTTCTGCAGCTGGGGAATGGATGCATAAGATTGCTGCGCATGCCTCCTTAAGAGCTGCTGCAGCTGAAGATGCCCATTTTCGCCGGCGACCTCGTGCGGTGATTTGCCGCTATGGTCGAGAGCGGAGATGTCTGCCGACAGTTCGATGAGCTTCTTGATTGCAGATTCTTGGCCATACCTGGCATGCTTGGGCCACTCTCAGAGAGTTCAAGTACGACAAGGTTCACGTCTAAAAAATGTGGCGGTTGTTGTGATGGCAGCCTCATCCCAGCCTGAAAACCCTTATAGACTTAAAAACCCTCAGGCTGACGTCCCTGTCTAGGTGCTCCGCCGCCCAGTGTGCTGGAGTGCGCCCCCAGCGATTTTTGGAAGATAAGTCACCGCCTGCTTCTCGAAACGCAGCCAAGGTTGATGCATGGCCAAACGAGGCAGCATAATGCGCCACTGAATTTCGATTCGTGTTACACACAGCTGGATTGCACCTCAGGGACCCACCAGCCCTGCTGCACATTCTGAAAAGCATATGACGCTCGTGATCTGCACAGCTTACAGCGATTTGCAGTTACAGGACCAACGGCACCTGCCCCGAAATAAACAAAACATAACGTGGGTTGCGCCTCAGCTCAATCAATTTACGAAGCACTTCATCGCGTCCCCAGGCAGCCTGTGACAACACACCACCATCAAATAATGCCTGTGACATCAAACAGTGGAATGTATTCATGACACCATGATATCCGAGTTCGTGCTGACAAGCACAGCAGCGCGCCGCGATCTCAACATCCCCCTAGATGAGCTGAAGCCTTCGCGACACGTTTTTCGCCATTTTCACGCGCCAAGACGTGCTCGGACCGGACGTGCACGGGACTGCGCACGACCACAAAAATGCGCACGGGACTGTGGCAAGAGTGACTTCAGTTTTGGACGGGGTCCCAAACAGAGCGACCAAAGCACAACCCCGCAAATTGCCAACGCAGGAAGCCCATACAAAAGCCCGTGAAAGCAATGCTGGAAGGAAGAGCTGCAGCCGTGTGAATTGGTAGTCCACCCTTGTCATCGGGCTGTTCCAGATTCGCCCGGAGCTTCTGCCTCCACAACCGCTTCGGAAGTTTTGGCTATGTTTTTGGTTGCCTCTGCAACAAGAGCGACACACAGAAACTTGGCCAATGCAGGCGCCCCAACGGAGATGAGCCATGAGCCCTGGTATGCAGTTCATGCCCATACTCCAGTATGCTCATATAGTATGCTTGCTCTACGATTAGCAAAGCCGCTCTGAAGAGGTGCGTTGCCTGAGACCCGACTGAAGTTGAGTCCAAGATGCAAGCAGAGCAAGGCCTCCGCTGTTTGCACGTGGTGAGTCAAGGTGCGGCCCAGTCCATCATGCACAAAAAGGTTGTAGCCCAGGTCATACAGCAAGCGAAAGACAGAGATGTGATTGTGCGATGCAGCTGTGTGCACAGGTGCCGCCTCAAGCTTCTTGGAAATTACCTCCAAGCTCTGGCCACAATCATGCAGTGTCTGCAGCACTTCGCAATGACCCTGTTCGGCGGCTATGTGTGCCGGCAGGCGCCCATGCTTGTCCTCTATCTGTTCGTGGACAATATTGCACAGGAGATGCACTGTGCTGGCATGACCATGTTGTGCGGCAATGTGCATCGGAGTAAGTCCCTCTGCATCTTGCTTGGCCAGGTCGACTCCCATTGCCCCTAGCATCTCAAATGCTTTCACGTATCCCTGCAGGGCCATGGCATGGGCAGCCGTTTGCCGGTTTGCATCTTCAATCGACAGGTCTGCCTTCAAGTCGCATAGCCGGCAGAGGGTGGCTGCTGCCTGCTCGTCGCTTCCTGAGACAAAATGCGCTGCGGTACGTCCAAGGCGGTCCTGCCAAGACATATCAGCTCCCAAGCATCGCAGGGTCTGCAGGAGTGCCGGGCAGGCATGCTTTGCGGCCCAACTTGCAATACAAACCCCTGCTTCCTGGTACGCCGCAAGCTTCAGTTCGCTCCTACCGTCGTGGCGGCACATGATGATTTCGTCGTTCTCCAGATAGGCATGATAAATCTCGGCGCCAAGGTCCTCCGCAATGGCAAGTTCTTCTTCTTGACCAATGCCCAGCATACCATCGCGCTCAACTACTTGTAACATAATTGGCACACCTGGCCTCCCCTTGTTGGCAGAGGCGGCACTATCAAGGTGATACCGAAATGAAAAGGCCCAACAACTCTCGTCGTCGGGCTTCGCATCTTGGCTACACCGCCCCAAACACCAGCGTCCGTGCCGATCTGCCCTGCACCGCGACTTCGTCTGCATGTTCGGATAGTAAACATACCCAGCCCTGGCAGACTCGTAAGCCTTCTTAAAGTTATGTCCAAAGAAAGCGGCGGCATTGGCTCGTTGAGTTGGTGAACCTCGCGAGCATTAGGGTCGCAACTTGCAAGTTTGCAAGGTCTCAGAGTCTCAGATACAAGATCTCTAGAGCTCATGGTAAAAACGACACGCCTGAGCCGTATCCGCCTCCCTCCAGCGAGCCTGCTCGGCGCCCCAGCGAGTTGTCAAAGCGCACGCTGAGAACCACAGGCCTTCGGAGCCCCCTATCTTCCCAAGGAAAGCGGAGGTTGGCGCTCCAAAGCTCCCGTTTGCTGTGGCGCCACGTGGACAAAGAGGTATCGCAGCTCTCTGGAGGAAACCACTTGCGCTGACACGGCCTCGGCCGGTATCCGGGCTGCACAAGTTCGAGGACGCAGCACATGGCAACGGAAGTGAAACCTTCTCGACTTCGCTAGAGCTAAGGGAAGACATTAAGCATCGTGCAGAGCTTGCTGATTTGGACGGCTCAGTGCTACAACATGAAATCCACTGCGCAGTCTGGGCCATACGACCCTGGTGACCCTGGTGGTGATGCTTAAACTTGGGCCGATCGCCGATTGTCTTGCAGGACACACCACCTTCTGGAGCTGAGCTCCGAACGGAAAACCAGACGGCCGACAGGCTCACATTCCGACTACATTGCATCTACCTGGTCTTCTGAAGTCTTGCGGGCCTCACCTGGTGATCAAGATGGTCTTGAGTATGCGGGTCTACAAGGGGCCGGGAATTAAGCCTCTGGACGGTCTGGACGTTCAGTGGTTCCCTGGTATTCGCACCTGGCTGCATGTCGTTGAATAATTTTCTTCGCTCACAGCGTGTAAATTGGCCTGCTGTCCTTCTCACAGTACATACGCTTGTGCTCCATGAAGCCCTACACTGAAGATTCGGGAGCCGCTGTACTTATCAATCTGTCCGAGTCCTTGCCGCGCAACGTGCTTTCGGACAAATTCTGGCAAATCATAGCATTTGAGTAGTTCGAAAGCAGAGGCTATATGTGTATATATACACATATATGATAGCTGTACACACACATACACAGCTACACATACACACGTATACACACCAACACACATGCACACAGAGACATGTGCACATGCATGCATGCGCACATTGCACATATATACACACATACATGCACATACATATACATACAAACATACTAATACCGCGCACGCGAAGACATTCATGTCCATGTTCTTACGGCATATGCATATTCATACACACATACATACATATGTATAGACATACTTGTACAAGAACACATACGCGCGCACACATGCATACGCATGCCACACACATACACTCTCTCTCACACACATACAATACACATATAATACGCACATATTTACTTCTACATGCACATACATAATATACATAGGCATGTTAGGGCTTATGCTGAATCCTGGCGGGCGGGGCCTGGCGTTCGGAACCCCTCCTCGCGCGCCTTGGGCGTGCCCGGCGGAGTCGGCCCTGACATTTTAGGGTTTCTGCGGTCTACCTCTGGATTTAAGGGCTGAAAGGTTGAAGTTGAAATGTTCAGGAAGTTCAGGGGGGGGGGGGGGGGGCCCCTTGGGGCAATGGCATTGGGCTCCAATGTTTCAGAACGCACGGCTTTCACATCCGGGCCAAGGGGTTGTGGGGTCGAGTGGTTCGGGCCCTTCACCCCTCTTCGACCTCAGCGCCAGAAGACCTCTTTTAAACCACCCCACCAGAACCAACACCTATCAGGCCCAGACAGAACCCAGGATATTCTCCCCAAGACGAACTACAGGCCAAGTTCAGATAGCAGGGCAAGAGACGAGCACCATGAAAGCAAGATCGGTGTAAGGCTTCCTTCAAGCGAGGCCAGTGAACCAAAAATTGAACCGAAAACTCTAAACCACCCAAACCGCCCAATAAACCATGGGCCCTGACCACAAGAACTTCCGTGTGCAGGCGCCTGGAGACATCTTCGGCTGTGCCGCTGCCTCCCGGACTTTGGGTGTGCTCGGCGGCGTGGGCCCTGGGCTTCGGGGGGGCGAAGGGAGTGGTGGTGATTATTTCGGGGCTTTGGGAGGGGGTTAAGGGTGGTGGGCTTGATGAACGTTTGAGCTCAAGTTGCAGGGGCGTGAGGGCTCAGAGGTTTTGGGTTTTGGGTAGGCTGATGAACCCTGATGTTTGTTTGGGGGTACCCGTGTTGGTAAGCCGTATACTACATTCGGATCTGCCGCCATGCTAGCTTTGAAATGCCCTAGGCCGGCTTCAGCTTCCTGGAAACCTTCTACATCCCGATCCAAGATGCCCTAAACTCAACAACTTTGAGCCTTTCTACTTCCTCTGACTCTGGCGTACTTTGAATGCCTAATCCGCTTATTGTAGTGGAGATCCGAACTTGGTTCTGCCCCACCGAACTCCCTCAGCTTTGAACCGCAGATCCGAAAGCCTCTGCGCTTTCAAAATTTCAAAAAGTCGAATTTGGGGTTTGGAGGCTTTAGGGCAGCCACAACTCCGCAGCATCCAATACTCCTACATCCTTGACCCTGACATTCCCAAGCCCCGACTTAGCCCGTGACAAGACTGCGCGCCGAAACACCAGAACCAACTTACTTCCAAGCCCTCCCGCTGGAGACCCATTGCAAGTCCCCCCCCAACGCCCTGTCCCGTTTGGGGGTTGCTCTTGTAGGGCGCCTGATCCGTGACCCTACTGGCCCTAATTCTCAAACCCCGATTTATCGTCAGGACCTAAGGAGCACGGGCCCCAGAAAACCCAGAAACAAACACATGCGATCCAAACAGGGATCAAGTCCGGGCCCCCCTTCTTGATTTCGGGGTCTCCGCATCCCGCGCTTTGGGCGTACTTGGCGGAGTGGGTCGTCCTGTGGCTTGGGTGAACGTTGATGCTAAAACCAGGACTTGATTCTGAAGGCGGGGGTGGGCGCAGATTGATCTCTGCTTCAGGAACTCGATTTGTGAGAAGGTGGTGGGGAGTGGGGGGGGTCTCTGAATCGTGATAGTTCTGAATCACGATATCTCTGCACAGTGATTGACAGCTTCTGAAGCAAGACCCCTGATCGCTCTGAAGTTTTGAGGTGAGAGAAACATGCATACCTTCTGAATCTTGAACTCGGGGCTCCGGAACCCGTTTCTAGCCTAACACCCAGAACCCGGCCGCGGATTTCCCAGGGTAGAGACATTCTGACCCTCACAAACCTGGGATTTCGGGGTCAGGTTTTACGGTTGACCTCTAAAACATAAACATCAACTTCTAGCGAGGCCTGGGGTTCTGGGAGGAGATCTGAAGCCTCACCCCACACGCAGAAGAAGCTCAGAAGCTGACGTGATCCCTCAAAAGCAGCCCTTGGAAGAACCCCATGAACCCCAAAGGCCCCATGGAGAGCCGCCTGGGTGGGTTTTTGGGGTCTCCCCTTCTCGTGCACGGACACCCTGAGAAGGCAACGGGGGTCCTGCAAGACCACGCGGGAAAGGCTTAGGGTTTGGGTTTGGGGGTGTTTGGCTTGAGGGGGGTCATGGTTGATTGGCATGGGCTCAGGGCTCAGGGTTTAAGGCTGCATTAGGAGGCCTGAGCCCTTACGTTCCTCATGCAACCCCCCCCTTACCCGAGTCTCCAAATCCTTGAACTTCCAAGAACTTGACCCTGCATCCCCAAATCTTTCTACTTCGGAGTCTCGAGTTGTTAGGGTCTTGGGAAGTGGGTCGGCTGGAGGGGTTCAGCGATGAGAGCGCGTAGCTCAGCTTCCATCTTTTGCCCCGCGAGCCTCACGCTATGGCACATAACCCGCGCACCAAACTGTACGAGTAGGTGGTTTATTTCGCGGTGAATCTGTGCAAGTATGTCTCTATCCTAACCAACAGGACCGGCTAATGCCAATTCCTCAACTCTGCATCCTTTGCACATGAAGCCTGGATGCATAAGATTGCTGCGCATATCCGGAAAGCCACCGCTGCAGCCGAAGATGCCCATTTTCGCCGGCGACCTCGTGCGGTGATTTGCCGTTTTGGTCGAGAGCGGAGATGTCTGCCGACAGTTCGATGAGCTTCTTGAGTGCAGATTCTTGGCCATACCTGGCATGCTTGGGCCACTCTCAGGAGTACGACAAGGCTCACGTCTGAAAAATATACCGGTCCCAAGAAGACCCTATCAGAACCCTCAGTTGAGGTTGTTGTGATGGCAGCCTCATCCCAGCCTTACAACCCTTATACGTAGACTTATAAGCCCGAAGGCTGACGTCCCTGTCTAGGTGCTCCGCCGCCCAGTGTGCTGGAGTGCGGCCCCAGCGATTTTGAGAAGAAATGTCGCCGCCTGCTTTTCGAAACGCAGCCAAGGTTGATGCATGCCCCACGCGGCAGCATAATGCGCCGCTGTGTCTCCCTTTGTGCTGCTCGCAGATGGGTTGCACCTCAAGGAATCGCCAGACCCATGCACTTTATTCAGCAACCTTTGAAACGGTTTCACCCAAAACCGGCTTTGCGCCTCAGCTGCATCAACGTGCAAAGCACATCATCACGTCCCCAGCCAGCCTCGTGCAATACATTCACAAGTTCAAGAATCAAAATGCGACGGCATGATCCGAAACAATGAAGCTTAACAGATTTCATGACAATACAGGACAGAACCACTTTCGTTGTTGTTTTTCAGAAGGTTCGCATGGCCTACAGGTAGGCCAGACCGACTGCATGCATGGGTTTTCACCTACTGCAAAATTCGCGGGGCACCGCCAGCAAACGCCCCCAGCAACCACGCCACGAATCGGACCGAGGCCTCGCAAGAGCTCGAAAGGGCCAGCACATCCCTGCGTTAGCGACACCGACGAGTTCGCGCTGCAAGATGTGCACGAGACTGCACAGAATGAGTGAGGGTCTTGGGCGACAGTGTCAGTGTGATTCAAATACAGTCACGGCCGGTGGCCGAGCGTGAGCACAAACCGCATCCAGTAATGATGTTTCTCTACAGTCTGATGAGAAGGGGCACTTCCACCATCACGTGAGCTTGAATTTCCAACGGATCCCCCCGAGGTCAACAGACCAATGAGTCTGCACGCCAATTCAGATGTCTTGCGCTCCCCGTCATTTCCGGTTGTGCCTTGCGATGTGCATGAGACTGGAGCCTTTGGCCCATTGGATGTCTTCGGCCATGTTGCTCATCTGCTGACATTGATTGGAACATGGCTCAAATTGAAACTATGTCCTTGACACAACGGCTTGTTGCCTTCGGAAATACCGCTTGGAGACAGCGCGCAGGCACGCCGACTGGAGGCATCTGTTCAGCATCATCTGCCGGCTGTGCTTGAGTCATGTTCAGCATGCTTGGTTGGAAGATGCTGCTAAGCGTGAACATCATAGCTTTTTCTTAGCTGTGCACCGAGGCGCTCAAGGTCGTTAACCCACTCGCGGGGTCATTCAGCGACCGCAAGAAGCTACTGGCTACACTGCCACACCTAGTGTCTGTGTTCAGGGGTTACCGGAGCGAACACAGGACGGCACCAGGGGCACTTCATGTCAAAAGTCCTGTCGGTTGGCTTCATTCCGTCAGTCGTTTGAACTTGTGAGCAGGTGGAACCAATATGTGCGCCGCACTAGAACGCAGGGGCCGATTAAAGGCTGAAACCTTTCCCCCCCCCCCCCCCCCCCAAAAGAAAAAAAACAAAAAAGTCAAAGCAATGCTGGAAGGAAGAGCTGCAGCGGTGTGAATTGGCCGTGCACCTCGGCGATCACGCTGCTCCAGGTCCGCTTGAAGCTGATGCCTCCACGGTCCATTGGGAAGTACTGTTAACAAGAACAACCCTCAGGGAATATTTGACATCTAGCACCCCAACAAAAAGAACAAAACATGAGCCCATATGAGCCCTGACATGTACGTCTATGTACGTGCCCTTAGCTGAGGAGGTGCATTTCGCACCAGTCAAAATTTGAGTCCAAGATGCAAGCAGAGCAAGACCTCCGCTGTTTGCGCGTGGTGAGTCGAGGTACGGCCCTGTCCATCATGAACAAAAAGGTTGTAGCCCAGGTCAGACAGCAAGCGGAAGACAGCGACTTGATTCGTTCTTGCAGCTGCGTGCACAGGTGCCGAGCCATACTTCTTGGAAACTACCTCCAAGCTCTGGCCACAATCATGCAGTGTCTGCAGCACTTCGCAATGACCCCGTTCGGCGGCTATGTGCGCCGCCAGCCGCCCGTGCTTATCCTCTATTATTTCGTGGACCTTATTGCACAGGAGACGCACCGTGCTGGCATGACCATTTTGTGCAGCAACGTGCAGCGGAGTAAGTCCCTCTGCATCTTGCTTGGCAAGGTCGACTCCCAGTGCCCCCAGCATCTCAAGTGCTTTCACGTATCCCTGCAGGGCCAAGGCATGGGCAACCGTTTGCCGGCTTGCATCTTCAATCGACAGGTCTGCCTTCAAGTCGCATAACCGGCAGAGGGTGGCTGCTGCCTGCTCGTCGCTTCCTGAGATAAAATGCGCTGCAGTACGTCCAAGATGGTCCTGCCAAGACATATCAGCTCCGAAGCATCGCAGGGTCTGCAGGAGTGCCGGGCAGGCATGCTTTGCGGCCCAACTTGCAATACAAACCCCTGCTTCCTGGTAGGCCGCAAGCTTCAGTTGGCTCCTACCGTCGTGGCGGCACATGATGATTTCGTCGTTCTCCAGATAGGCATGATAAATCTCGGCGCCAAGGTCCTCCGCAATGGCAAGTTCTTCTTCTTGACCAATGCCCAGCATCCCATCGCGCTCAACTACTTGCAACATAATCGGCACACCTGGCCTCCCCTTGTTGGCAGAGGCGGCACTATCAAGGTGATACCGAAATGAAAAGGCCCAACAACTCTCGTCGTCGGGCTTCGCATCTTGGCTACACCGCCCCAGGCACCAGCGTCCGTGCTGGGTCGCCCTGCACCGCGACTTCGTCTGCATGTTCGGATTGTAAACATACCCAGCCCTGGCAGACTCGTACGCGTACTTAAAGTCTTGTCCGAAGAAGGCGGCATGATGGGCCCTTTGGGTTGGTGCACCTTCCGAGCTAGGGGCGTAACTTGCAAGGTCTCGAGAGTCTCAGATAGAAGCTGTCAAAAGCTTGAAACGATGCACTAGAGCCGCTAGACCCTTGTTTGCCTCCAGGGAGCCTGCTCGACGCCCCAGCGAGTTGTCGAAGCGCACGCTGAGAACCACAGGCTTTCGGAGGCCACTATCTTCCCAAGGAAAAACGAGGTCGGCGCTCCACAGCTCCCGTTTTCCATGGCGCCACGCAGGCACCGAGGACTCGCGGCTCTCGGAGCTCTCGGGAGGAAACCACTTGCGCTGACACGGCCTCGGCCGGTATCCGGGCTGCACCAATTCGAGGACGCAGCACATGCAGCACAACGTCAATCGGAGTTGGCACCGGAACCGACAAATTTTCGACTTCGCTAGAGCTAAGGGAAGACAGGACAGACAGACGTGCAGAGCCTGACTCCTGAATTTACGTTCGGTTCGTGTACGTGCTTATAAGACAACATGAAGCATGTGCTGTCCGGGCCATACTCTGGTGACCCTGGTGATGTAAACTTAAACTCGGGCCGATCGTTTAAGCAAGCCACTCGAACAGAGACCAGACTGCCAGGAGGCCCACGTTACAACTACAGTAACTACAGTTCTCTTTTCCTTCTGAAGTCTTGCGGACTTGTCTAGACGCTCAATGGCCCCCCCTGCCTTCGCATAGCTGCATGATGTTGACTGTTTGCAAACAGTGTGTCTCACTCGAATCACCTCCCTGAAACCTGTGCAAGAAAAGAGAACACCCGAAAACACATTACAGTGAATGCGCCTCCGCACATTGACACGTGAGGTTCATCCGCTGCGCTTGCACAAACATCTTTGAACAGATAAACATCCTACACTTAGCCCCAACCGTATCCTTGGAGCCCTCCATCCCTGGATCCTTGGAGCCCTCCACCGAGGCTGAAGCGAGAGCAAGCCTCTCAACCCTGTAAAGCTCCTAGCAGCACTGAAGAGACCAACTTCCACGATTTCCACATCATTCTTCAAGTCCATCACACCCTAGTCCCACAAATACGGAACAAAAAACAGATGAGGAACCGACTGAGATTGGTGGTTTCGGGGTCCCCGCATGCCGATCGGCAAACTTCTGTGGAGCAAAGGCTTCTGACATATAAAGTGTTATCCACTGCCAGGGGCTTCAACCTGTGGAGATCCGTGGCTCTGCTGGAACTATCCATCTGTACCAGACTGAAGCATGGTGGGGGCTGTCGCGGCAGAGCATGGATGACAGCGTCCATCTTTTCCCTTTTCCTGCGCAAAGACCCTTTAACTAATCTGCACCGAAGCCGCACGTGAAACTGCAGGCGGTGAATACATGTTCTAAACCCTCCACTTTGTAGAAATGGGCTTGGGGGTCCCGATCGCCTGGAGTGAGACTGAGGGATCACATGGCAGTCCGATGGGTTCTCGAAGTTGGGGTCCCTCAGACAAATTGTCATCAAACAAGTCAGCTGAAAAATGCGTCCACAAGGATCCTAGTTCAGATAACCCCAGTGGCTTTTGGTGGTGTAAGGCATTTAAGAGTAGCCCGAAGCTGCCATGTGACCCCATGGCCTAGGGCAGGGCCGTTCGCTTCTCAGAAGTCGGGATCAGCTTGTGGACACCTGGGGTCGGGAATTCGCAGCTCCAAACACCGCTGAACCCAATAAACCCCAAGCTCTCAAAACTGCTGCAGACCCATGCAGACCCCAGACCCAGACATTCCCTAAATTCTGCAGTGCAGCTCCCGAGCATGCTGAAAGCCTTGTTCAGGTGGCTTCATGCTCACATCTGCGCAAACTTGTACACTGGTACACTTTCAACCCGATGTGTTGGGACTCTGGAAAGTGCAAATGGAAACCGTGCACATTCAGTCCAACCTCCAAGAATGCCTGCGAATCCCTTAACCCACAGACTTGTAACCCTGGACCCTGAAACTTGCCGAAAGCGCCCGACCTCCCCTAAGCCCACGCCTCAAACGCCCCACCCAACCCACCCTGAACCCTACAACCCACATGCCTCCCAGCAAGCCCCCGCAGTTAGCTTGGGAAACAACCTGGCCGCTTCTCGATGCTGGTGGGTGTTAGAGTCCAGTCTATAGGAATGTGGGGTTCAATTCTCGGGAAGAACTTCGTCGTGTTCGGTGATGGACATGGAAAGTCCTGGGGTCGCTACAGTATAGCCCCTGATCGCTATCCACCCTGACCATTGCCCTGACCATTGCCCGAATCATTGACTAGCAATGATTCTTGAGCTATTTGCCTGCTTTATTATCTGCATCAGGACTTGTTGTTGGCGAGTTTGCCCATGTTGTTGCTGCTGTGGCTTGTTGTCGCTGTCGCTGCCGCATGCTGCAGTTGCATATGCCGGCTGCCGGTGCTGCCGCTGCTGCTGTTGTGGTGGCCCAGCGGGTTGGGGGTGCGGGGGTTTTTGTTGTGGGGTCCACAATTTATACAATCAAATTTAGGGTTGGGGTGATTTGGGGTGGGGGTGTTTGGGGGATGGGGGATGGGGGGTTGGGGGTTGGGGGGTTCGGGGCTCGGGGGTTGGTTGGAGGGTTCGGGGGCTGGGGAGGTTGGGGGGTTGGGGGGTTGGGGGGGGATTCAGGGGTTCGGGGAATCGACCGGTTCGGAGTTCGAGGGTTCGAGGGTTTGGGGGCTCGGGGGTTGGGGGGTTTTGGGTTGGGTGGTTGGGGGCATGGGGGGCGGTTGGGGTTGGGGGCGGTTAGGGAGTTGGGAGGGAGGGTTTGGCCTTGTTGGATCCTCAGCCCGAGCCTCCAGGCACACTAAGTCTCCCATGTGAGTGCGCAGCTCGGCGAGTGGTCGAGCGAACAGAGCAAGCTTCAGCGACTTCTGCAACAGTCAACATCCAACCGCAGACTCCTTCACCGCACTGCGGACTCTATACGACTTATAGATTTACATGCAAATCGCACGACCTATAGACACCAAACTCTACCGTGCAACTCTACAACCTGGACTAACTCTCAGCAATCTTCACGATTCATCCCTAAACGCTTGACACAAGGCTTAGAGGGCTTGGGGTCAAACACCCTTCGTCGCCTGCATGGCACGCTCCCGACGTTCGCGCTTCTTCTTGTCCCTTAGGGAGTGATTGTTTGAGTGATCGTATAGGGCTTCGAACTCAAGACCGAGAATTGGCAGCCAAGGCCTGAAGGTCGCGGGTGTGAGGCTTGCTGGATGTGGGTTTCGGGTTCAGAATCTACGCAGCACGCGAAGAGGCTGGTTGCTCACACCTGGAAGATCTGGTAAGTAGGACGAGACTTGGCATCGTGCGATCCAAGTCAGGAGAGGCCCTCTTAAACCTTAAACCCTTGCCGCTGCCTTGAACCGGTTAAGCCCCCAAACCTTCCACCCCTGCATCCCTACAATCCACAACAACATAAACCGCGCCTGGTCTGGCTCAACGTACGAGTAGATAACTCAGGAAGTTGGTTCCCTAAGGATCCCTTATGGGCGATATTGATTCCTGACTTTTTCAGAACCAGAAACAAGAAGTGAGGGCCAGGCTTCTCTTCAAGCAGTTTCTTCCGCTCCTTGCTTCGAAGCTTCCGGGAAACGGTAGGATGTGGGAAGCCGGGCGCCGGAAAGGACTTGGCCGCCAGACTGCCGAGAGCACAAGACTGTCTGGGTAATGTCGGGCCCGAATGAAATTCGTAGAGTTATGCAACGGCAACCCTAAGCCCTCAACTCGAAGCCAAAAACCTTAAACGCTCATGACGCCTCCAACCCCAAATTAGCCCGAAAAGCCCAACCCTCAACCTCGAACCCCTGAACCCTGAACCGAACAGCCTAAGATAAAACCCAAGCACACGAAACCTGAAAGCGAAACCCGCGACTGCAGACGCAGTCTCCTCCGTCCACTCCGCTCTCCTCTCCTTCCGTCGCTCGTTGCGCGCCTGGAGGACTTCAGAGCTTAGTAAGCTTAGGGTTCAGGTTTTGGTTGCTTTTAGAGTTGAGCTTAGACCGCTTCGACCTAGCTGTCCTGCCTTGATGATGGATCGCCGGTACAAGAAGCGCTCGTCAAAGATCCGGTGCCGATCCTCTCAAAAGGATTTTGAAAGGCGGGCTCATGGGTCGAGAGGTTTTCCGTCCTGCAAAGCCCAAGATGCTGTTTAAAAGAATAAACCCTGATGAGTGGTTCAAGCTCACGTGCCTTTGTCATGACCGACTCTCCTGCCCTGAGCGTAGGCGCTGCACAGCCCAGCAAACCATAATGAGGGTGCCCTGTCCCCGTTGGCGAACTCAGAGCCCCCAACCAAGGAAAAGGATCCCCCCGGGGTTTCGCCGCACAACAACGAGGCACAAGCATTCGCAAGCGGGTGTGGGGCAGGATCTTGGGGGTGATGATGCAAACCTCTGAGGAGCTTTCAGGATAAACCCTGAACAGTTGCAACCCAGCCCCTTTTAAGAGGAGCTGATGCGTGGGCCCGTAAGCCTTCGGGCAGAGCAAGCTTGAAGCCCTGGGTTTAGGGTTTGGGGGTTTAATTTAAAGCAAAGGGCGACAACCCCTTAAGCCCTTTCCCTTAGGTCCTTGGAGCGGGACTGGATCTGCACTTCAAAGGGCAGAGGCGGAAGATGATCCCACCACCTGGGAGATGCGACATTTATGGCTTGGTTAGGGTTTAGGTTATCAGGGCCCGGGACCTGGAGATTCGAAACCTAATTAGAGCCACAAACCTGAGTCATACACGAAACCTGAGCCATAAACCCAACTCCTACACCTCATGAAATTGAAGCCATGGCCTCCAACTACATAAGTTTCAGAATGAATGGACCCAAATTACTTAAACCCCAAAGCCCTTAAACACCACAGCCGAAATTGCCGGTGTCGGGATTGCACCTCCAAGTACCCGAGAACAGGTTTCAAAGCCTCCTCCATAAACCCGAACTAAACCCCGAATCCGAATCAAACCTAAAACCCTGATCGAACCCTATAACCCCCCAAAACCATAGAGTCACGCCCTGAGCGCCGGGCGTGACGCGTCTCTGCGTGTAAGTCGGCAATGGCACCTATCCGGTGCTCGGAGGGTTTAACGGCTAGGGCTTGGGGTTTCGGACTTTGGAGGCTTATGGGTTAAGATGTCGTGTCGTCAGCCCTCAAGGCCAGCGCGTCGAATTGCTCGCCAGCGCGGGCGCGCGTAATTGACCAGGTATGAGGTCATTCACAGGCTACGAGCCCAAGTATCGGGCTGCCGCGCAAAACGTCGCTTAGCAGCTTGGGGTTGTTGCACCCGGTGGGACACAGCCATTTCCTCTGGTAAACCCGAAGCCCCGAAGCCCTAATCCCAATCTTAGGATTGTTCTTGCAGGCTTCTACTGCTGCCGCTGGGTGTTCAGAGAAGAGAACGGGGCGTCAGGGGTCCTGCAGGCCGCAGGAGGAAGTTCCCGGGAAAAACGTCGCCTAAGTGGAGGCTCTGGAGAAACCCCCTTCGAGCATGTCCAGAGAGCCCTGCCTTTCAACGTCTCACGAGCTTGAAGTCCCAGGCGATGTGCCCACAAGCAAAGCAAAAAACATCCCAAACCACCAAGGCCCATACACCCAAAACAAGCAAGGAGATTCCAACACCTCAAACAAGTTTGCTTCTGCACCTTCCCTTCCCGCCACCAGATGGAAAACTCCTGCGCTCGGACGGCCGCAAGAGGAGTGGGTGTCTCAGGGTGATACTTACGTGGTGTTAGCTCGACGATCCTCGGTTTTCGGGTCAGAGTGCTTATGCTAGCGAGCCCAGTCTCAACCCGATGGAACAGTGCAGGCCATACTGCCGTTAGCTTGCTCGAAGAGTCATATGTTAGGCCTCACTAAGAACAGCAGATCTGAGACCTCTCCCAGAAAGAAAATGCCCTAAATTAGGCTCAGAGGGTGTGGATTCTCAGCTTATCTTGTGCGACCTTTCTCGCAGATTGCAAGCCGCAAAGCGCTGAGATGTGCGAGATTTTTGGGCTTCAGTCATTCCAAGACTCAAAGTCCCTGAGCCCGCACGCTCAAATGGAAAGCCTGAAGTCAGCTCCAAACTTAAACCCCGCAAGTCCTCGTGCAACCTCTCAGCGAAGGCCATCCGAGCACGCCTGGCTCAAGGGCGAGGTTGCAGGTTGCAAGGTCCACACCTTCGCTCTTAACAGCGAGACAGAACGCCAGCTACATGGCATGCGCAGCTGGAGGAGAGGCTTCCTCAAATTCAAAACAGTCGGCCATCCCACTCAGTGCAGAATGCAACCGGGCAGGGCCGCGTGAGGATGCGAGCTCTCTGGGTCGAGGATACCTGGCGGGATTTCGGCAAGGGATTCAATGAGATCCTAAATTCCTAAACAAATCTCGCCGGCTCCGAGAGGCCAAAGGCACATTAGCGATGGGCACGAGAAAGCTGGGCCAGATCCTACTTCAAACATGCAGGCCTGGGAGGGCTGGACACCCACTGAGGGCAGCAAGTCGGTACATACAGAGGCTCATCAAGCACCAGCTCGTTGGCCATTTGCGAGCTAGCTTCGGACTTCTTGTAAATTGAGGGTTTCAAGGGCCTTTTGAGGGGGGGGGGGGGGGGGTTTAGAAAGAGTTTTGAGAAGCTATTATTTTTAGCGTTCTAGGGGTTGTAGGCTGAAGTGGTCGGCCATAGGCCATAGGAACCATGTAGGGCTGATGGGGTGGGGTTTAGGCCTTAGGCTAGGCCTCAGGGCCTTTTTAGGGTCTGGGGTCTCGCAACTTTGCCTTGGAGAGGTCTTGATGCAGGGCTTCGGGCCCTGCAACAGTCAGAATATGGCCCAGGCTCCCATGCTTCCAGGGTTCCTTCCTTGCAAGGTGAGACCATAGCCATCCCACCAAGGCTTAAAATAACCCGAGAACATCCTCAACCCGGATCCTGAATTTGGCTCCACCTTCACCCGAGACCAGCCGAAAACAATGCATCTTGACTTTGAGCCCAGGAGGGCTGTGGAGTCTGAAGAAGGGTTTACTGTACGGTTTTTGGTTTCGGGCTCGAGAGACTCGAGGGGTTTGGGGTTGAGCTCCGCTCGGCCGGGCCGATGACGAAACACGAAGCAAAGATTCTTTCTAACTCCGCTTGCCCACAGCCTGCCCGAGGGAAGGCGAACTATCTTTGAGCTCAGTTTAGCCATCGGGGCCGCTGTGATTGCTGCCTTGACTCTGGGGAAAGGAGGTGCGGATGCATTTCTTGGATCGAGACGAGCTTGGCCTTCCTGGCTGGTGCGTTTTAGGGAGAGGGTTTTTCTAGAACAATACGTTAAAGACAAGTTGTTCAAACTTGAGGGGTGTTGTGGCGCTTCGCCTGATGTTGCATCGGCTGCTACTCATGAGACAGAAACCTTTCGAAGCACGTGGGGTCCCTAAAGTCCAAGCCCTCAACCCTCCAACACCACCGACTAAATCACCTAAGCCACCTAAATCACCTAAACCCTAAAACCCTAAAACCCAAAACGCTAAATCGCTGAAGCCCCAAGCCCCAAGCCCCCAGACACTGGTCGGAGGATGTCGGAGTTCGGCCCCGGCATTCGAGCCGATACTGTAATGATACCCCCCCCCCCCCCCCATCATCCCCATAGTAGAAAGCTTGCAGCCTCCTAATCTTAGGTTGGAGTATGGCCCAGTGCGGCCGAAGTGGCAACTCTTTGAGATGCTTTTGGGTCAGCCAGATCCAGTCCTCCATGGTTCGGGATTTAGCGGGACTGCATACGGTCCTTGCAGCCTACCTATCACCGAACCCGCGGTGAGTGCCGCACATCGCCGTCCCGGAAAGTACCTTGTATCCGTAGGATGTACACGGCCAGGCCCCCAGCATGATTTGCTGACCAGTCCTTCTGCGTGAGGTTGTGCTGCTGGCACAGGATACGTTGTGCCTGGCGGTAAGCCTGACTGCTAGCGAGAAGAGATGGCAAATAGGTATGAAGTATGGAATCCATGCACTTTGCCTTCTCTTCACGATTGGGAGACATATCTGGGCACCCCAGTGTCTCTTAGTCTACGGTCTACGGAGCTCAAGAAATGAAAAAAGCATGCTATCAGAAGCTACCAAGAAACGGCCATGTCTTCCTCGTCCTCGCAAGGGCAGGATGCTTCGGCTGGGATGGGAGCCCGGTGGCTACAGCACTCCAGTGCACTGCATCGGGGCCTGACGCCGATTCGGCAAAACATTCGGATCAAATGAAGCCAACACCAGATTCGCATTTCCCTGCAGTCTTGCACTCGAGCCCATAAAAACCCTAGAACCCCAATCGCCAAAATCTCAGGCCTTTGACCCTGTCGTTTGACCCTGTCCTGCTCGTTCTCCTGAGCAAGCATGTGGACGCGTCCCAGGTACGGGTGGTTGACTCAGGCTTGGATGGCTCGGACGCGTTGCTTGTCTGCATGGCTTCCTATCGCTGCATCCACGGTGTATACCCCAACAATGGAGATGAGAAAGACTCTGGAGTTGTAGAAGAACCCCTCATTTGTGCGCATCTGCTCCCCCACTACTAAGATGACCAAGTTAAAGCCCCCAACCCCCCATTAAAAAAACACAAGGCAGCCCTCTGTTGCTGCATGGGGTCCAATTACATAAGTTCAGTTTCGCAGGGTACACCGAACTCCCCTTGGCTGACACCTCTAACACCCCCAACATTTTGGTAAGCCTGGGCTTCCTACCGGCCAGGCGTGGTTCCACGTCGGAAGGCGCAGCTCGCAGTTCCTGAGGGGGCGACCGGGAGCACTTTGTGACGAGAACCGGCCATGCCAGAGGCACCCAAAGACCCCCCAGCTGCAATACCTGAGATCCAGCTCATTGTGCTAGTCAACCTTTGTATGTTCGCTCCAAGTGGCACAGTCTTCAACTGCTTGTGCATATACAGCTCTGCTGCGCGGATGGCCGACACAGTGAAGCTTGGCAGCTGTTCGTTGTAGGCCTGCACATCTTCCGATTGCCGGGCAAGGTCTTCACAAGGCCTGTTGGAGTTTGTCCGTGGCTTTCTAGAATTTCATCTCGAGATGCGTTTCGCTTGATGGCGGAGACAGATACAGAGACAGAGAGAGAAATGGAGAGAGCACGAGAGAGCGAGTGAGAGAGGAAGAGCACCAGAGAGTGAGAGAGAGAAGGAGAGCGCGACAATCAGCGCACAAAACTAAGTAGAGCATGCAGAGATAAATGGCAAGAATTGAGCATGCCTCAAGATCCCGAAACCGCTCTTTGACCGTTGACCGGCCCCAAACCACTCGCCTGTGAGGGCACCCACACGCCGTGGGCCCCAAACGGACTGATCAAGGCCACCTGTGAGGAGGGCTTGCTTGCTAGGATTGCTAGGCCGCTGGAGTTCAAGCTTCTAAGTTTGCGGCTCGAAAGTTTAGGGTTCAGTGCTCCGCTTCAAGGATACGTTGTAGGAATGCTCGGTGTGGTGTAGATACCAGCAGCAAGCTAGTCCAAACCATCAAAAGTCTCGAGTCCTCCGCGCCAACGCTGTCCCACTGCGCCGTCTCAGCCGGAAGCTTTTGGGCTGTAATTTGGCCATTGGCACACTTCCAGCGTTCTCGCACTGCCCTCCGGAGCCGCACGCCAAAGAGGCGTGCAACGTACACTAAGCAGCCGGAGGCCCGCGAGCAGAACCGGGAACACATCCGGCGCGTGGGCAGGACAACAGCAAGAAAGCCGAGCGCGGAGCAATGGCGAGGCCATCTTGAGCTGTCGACAGCTGTTGCAGTTGCCTCACTGCGTTGCTGCTCAAATTCCTCTTGAGCTTTTGGCATGGTCGATGTGGCGGACTCGAAACGCAGCCTCGACAATGCATGTTGGCTGGGAAACCAGGGCCCACGGTAGGAGCCAGGATGATCATGTCCTTTTTTCCAGTGTATCCCAGGACCAGATGGTACTTTCGACATATGCCGCTACTGCGGTGCTTGTACGAATTTCAACTTCTGACAACTTTTTTCATGCCCCTACTCAGGGCATAGGTTCTTTCGAAGCACGCTCTTGCCCAGCTCTTCGACGATTGGTTGCAGCTAGTTGACCCAAGTACATAGCTTTGCTTGTTGGGCGGGAGCAATTTCTGCAACATGCTAGCAATCTCCGGCGAGCCGGAAGCTTGTGACGAGCAATGCACTTTACTCCTTAAGCTCTACACCCTAAAACTGTCTGCACCTACAGACACGTGCTGCTATGGGTCTCGGGCCTGCAGGGTTTCTAGGGCCTAAACCCTGTTACTGGGGCTTTGAAGCTTACGATGCTAAACGCACAAATGCGCAACGACAACCGTGGACTGTCCACAACTTGGATCGCATCTTAGACTTAGATGAAGTGCGATCCAGGAAAATGACAGTTTAAAGTGCTCCCCTGGAAGCACTTTACACAGCGAGTAGAAAGCAAGGTTTAGGGTCTGCATGGGTTCAGCAGTCTCGCACTTAGGGTTAAGTTGTGGGATTGAGTTGCTGTGTGTGATTGACGTTTAAGGGTTGCGGCCTAGGGAACAGTATGTGGTTTCGGGGCCAGGGTTTGGGGTTTAGGGCTTGGGGCTTTCGGGGCTTTTGGGGCTGTTGGGGCTAAACCATTTGGGCCCAGTTCCCTGGCCTGTCCAGGACCCAGCACCGCCACGGATCCCAGCTGCATTGCATCCAGTCTCTCTAGCACCTTCCGAAGCTGCTTTGAGCTTAGGGTGGTTTAGGGCTGAAGGGGCCCAAGCCTAAACCTTAGACAGCTCGCGAGACTTTAGACCCTCAGAACATGCACACACACACACATACATACCTACGTACATAGCTACGTACATACCTACATACATACATACATACATACATACATACATACATAATTACATAAATACATAAATACATAAATACATATATGTAGATTGCCACAGACAAGATGATTTTCGAACATGTAAACTGCGCAGCAGCTTTTGAGACAAATCTACGTGTGAGAGAAGTCAAGCTGCAGAACTGCAAGGCCACCACCGCCCTAACTGCTCACCCTGCATGGGAGCGGCGGCCTCTTTGAGCGCTTTGACGTCCCGGCGTCCCACATGTGTGACCTTGGGTTTGCAACATGGGGCACGCAGCACATCGGTCCGAGGCCCTACGGCGAGCTTGATGCATTCTACGAGAGCTTCGGGCTTTGAAACATCGGAGGTCAAACCCAAGTCACGTAGCAGCCAACCAGTGGCGGCAGGAAGTGGAAAACGCTTACGCCGGAGACCTCGTAGAGGGCTCATCGGGGTATGGGGGTATGAAGGGCTTGGGAGGCTTTGCGGGTGAGGGTTGTGGGTTTAAGGAAGGGTCTTCGCGAAGCTTATTCAGTCACGAGCCGGCGCCTGATTGTAGACAGTGAAGTGCGGCGGGACATGCGTGTCCTGATGGTAGGAAGTCACGTAGTGCGGCATCTTCCAAATCAGGTACCTTGGATGTCACACTACAATAGCCCCCCGCTTCCTCCCCCCCCCTTCCCGATACTTTATCTTGGGATTTGCAATGGCCTTAGCATGCCATGCAAGACAAGATCTTCATATCCTGCAGGTCCACAGCTGCTGCAAGTTCGCGTTTCTCCGCGTTTTGCTTACCACCCCAACCACCACAACGACAACAATACCAAACTTTTCGGGAGACTTTACAATCGCGTTGCCACCTACCCTTCTAGATTGTTGAAATGTGGAAGCTGCCTCATTTTGTAAGCAACTTTTGGGTAGCAGTGGTCAGGTTGCTCATGCCAGTCTTACAAGCTTGCCTTACAGGTCTGTCAATGACCGTAGACGGCCATATCTCACCGAATGCACCGGATTCTCTTCTGACCTCCGACGTCAAGCCCTAGAGAGAGGTGAGCTTTTGCTTAATGTGCGAATAATGACCCTTCCTGATGTTTGTAGTGCGGAGTTCAGGCCTCCTGCTCAAATCCGAAAACTCCGAGACCTTGAGCCCTTGCGCACCTGATCTTTGAAGAGATCCACTCGAACTATCCCACGCCAGGATGCAGCATCTTGTTCAACCTCTCAGGCCGTAAGGTTGAAAGGGTTAGACGGCGAGGCTTTGCAAGTGCCACACTCTCCAACCTCGTACCCCTCTGGTTGTACCTTGGGTTCGGCCGGTCCACACTAACAGTCACCACCAGCAGACCCACAAATAAAAGCACCCGGTAAATGCCAAAAAACTGACTGGGATTCCTGCTATTCCTGGTGCTATTCCTGGTGCTATTTCTGGTGCTATTTCTGGTGCTATTTTTTGTGCTATTCCTGGTTCTATTTCTGGTGCATTTTTTTGTGCTATTCCTGGTGCTATTTCTGGTGCTATTTTTTGTACTATTGTTTGTGCTATTTCTGGTGCTATTTCTGGTGCTGTTTCTGGTGCTATGTGACTAACAGTCACCATCAGCAGACCCACAAAAAACAGCACCCGGTAAATGCTAAGCTGCTAAAATTGACTGGGATTCCTGGTGCTATTTCTGGTGCTATTTCTGGTGCTATTTTTTGTGCTATTCCTGGTGCTATTTCTGGTGCTATTTTTTGTGCTATTGTTTGTGCTATTTCTGGTGCTATTTCTGGTGCTATTTCTGCTGCTATGTGACTAGCAGTCACCACCAGCAGACCCACAAAAAGAAGCACCCGGTAAATGCTAAAATTGACTGGGATTCCTGGTGCTATTTTTGGCCTGTGTGTTATAAGGCCACGGCGTTATTTGACTGTTAGTGTGGACCGGCCGAACCCAAGTTGTACCCCTAAGGTCTTACCCCTGCAGGGTAAACCTTGGAGTTTGGAGCCTGGACCGCTGGCACACATGAGTTCGTTTCCCGGGTGCCTATCCTGATTTGATGGACTGGAGTACGCCTAATTCCTGTTGGACAAGGCAAGGCTTTGGACGCTTCTGTTTGTCTTCAACTTACTGGCCGTGCTGGCTCGACTTAGTCTTGACTCTGGACACAGGACGGCAATAAATTGTCTCAGCTTCGGTCCATGATTGACTGGCCGGTGTCTGACACCATAAGCCAGAAACAACGAGCATCTAGAGGCCAGAAGAACTCCTTTCCCTGGATGTTCTTAGCAACCATGAGTCATGAGTGAGACTCACAACAGCCGGCCTCACCGAGTCCGAATTCTGCACGAGTGCTTGCATACGAACAAGATAGTCGTCTAACATTTCGACGTCCGTCCTGGAAGCCCCAGGGATGAGTTCACCCTACACACACTCACGGGTTTTGGGAACAAGGATCCCGCCCATTCTTAACCCAAGCCCTAAGCGTTCACAGGCCATGCCACATGGAGCTGCGGGGCTTTAAGATTCACACACGTACGAGGTCCCGTACGACTACTTTCCAACTTGAAAAGAAGCCGAACTCTCCTGCACCACCCACAAATGGTTGGCTCAGGGATGGCTGGGACGTACTGCTAGTCGTATCAGCATCAAACTCTTAAGCGTCCAAGACCATAAGACCATAAAGACAGCACATCTAGGGTTTAAGGGCATTGGGTCCTGTTGCCTGTCGGGTTCACAGTTGGACCTTGAAGTTCAGGGCTTTAGGCTCAGATTTGAGGATCTTACTGGAGGGGGGGGGGGGGGGTGGCTCAGGTCAGAAAGTCAAAAGCCCCGTCCTGTCTTTCCCCTTCACGTCGTAGTCCCACCTTCAGGCAATGACAAGACATGCTCAAATTGCCCTCATGCAGCGGGCTTTGTGGAGATGAACCGCAACCCTCAACCAAGGCCTCGGAACTAAGATGACACACTTACATCACTTGAGCAAAACTTGACCCGAACCCCTACTATACTCGCAATTTTCACGCACCTCTCCCCCGGCCTTGTGTTCAAGGACCCCTGCCCATCCTCCAGCTGCCTCTCAGATAGACATAATAGACTGGGCTCTGGACCCTCAAAAGATTCCTTGTTGAGTTTGAGAAGGTCTTTTAAACTCTTCAACGGTCGATGCAGCAGCTTGGACTTGATGGCGGCGACCCTGCCCGACTGCAACATTCTACAACTTGCTGGCCGACCTTGCAGAGCCTATAATCACCAAAAACAACTAGCGGAGTTCAGGGCTTGAGATTCAGAAAAGGACGCCGTGGAGCGTGTTTTTGTTGGGATTCTTGGAGGGGGAGGGGGGAGACGTGGCGTTTGGGGGTGGCAGTTTGAAGTACTATGAGGTACTATGGAGCTGATGTGGGGATTTGGGGCTGCGGTTCTGGTGTTTGACCGAACCAAGTCGCAGATCGGGCACTGGAATATTCTCGCCGGCCTGCCAATGCACAAAGGCAAGTCTCCGGCATTCAGGGACCAAAATCCTTACCCCATGAGGGAAGGACTGCTATTTATAACCCTCAGGAACTCAGCGCAGGGTACGTACAAAAAAAAACCTAAGCACCCAAGACTGTTAAGAACTTCGGTGTCGGGAACTCTGTGACAGAGACGTGGGTTATCAGTTATCGGCGTTTCCCAACCCTGAGCCCCAAGCCGTACTGAAGCCACAGGGTTTGGGGCTCAGCAAGCCACGCAGGCCTGCTCAAAGCAGTTCCACGGCTGGGTATGAAAGACCTCTGTGCTGCGGCATCAGGGCTTCAGGGCTTCAAGGGTTTAAGGGGGTTTCAGGAGGGCTCAGGGCGATGTCGGTATCCAGGACCCACATATCAGGCAAGCGGCATACGACTCCGGGCCTTCGATCTTCTTGATCAGGCCCCGCAGAGTCTGCATCGGAGTGGCTTCAGTGGACCAAATGCCCTGTTCGTAATCCCTTAACGGAACACCACTTAGACCCCTGGCTTCCGGAATTCTTGCAGAAAGTAAGGCGTCACCACCAAGATCAGATCCTCGACCCAACTGCCTGACCAAAGAACCGAAAAGCAGCCAAAAGTCGCTAGAAAACCTAAAAGTTCGGCCAGGGCTGGGGGGGGGAGAGTTCGTTGGACCATGTTGAACAGCACTCGTAAGCATGTTGATTTGGGGTTTTGGGTTTAGGACTTAGGGCTTCAGGCTTTCGGTTCATGGCATCAGGGTTCCCTGTGCCTCTAATTCCAAGTCCTCAGCCCAGGCGAAGGAGTCAATCGCAGGGCCGCGGAGGAAACAGCCGAAGAAGAGATCCTCCTGGAGCCGACGGGCCCCCTAGAAGCCAGCCCCTAACCCCAAACCCTTAAACCAGCCTCTAAACCTCTGAACCGCCTAAAGCCCCCAAACTCCTAAACCCAGCAGCTGCGGGCAGGATCCTCCAGCTGGCCCAGCTCTTTCGCTCTTGCCAGGACATCCTGGCACCGGTTCATTGAATTGTCAATGCTTGGCCATAGTTCAAGCCAGGGGTTATAGAATCTTGATGCAAGGTTTTTGTGCCTACGCTGCGGGGCCGGGATGGAAGCTCACACGCTCCTCTACTCAGGATGTCAGGAAGGGCTTGGGATCTGGGAGACAGAAGTCCAGGCACCGTCTTCTTTGTCATCTCTCTCTGTCTAGGGGACATTCACTCCCTTTCTCATTCATTCATTAACTCATTCATTTCGATTCACTTCATTTTATTTCACTTCATTTCATTTCATTTCAATTCATTTCATTTCATTCATTTCATTCATTTCATTCATTTCATTCATTTCATTCATTTCATTCATTTCATTCATTTCATTCATTTCATTCATTTCATTCATTTCATTCATTTCATTCATTCCTTTCCATTCCTTTCCATTCCTTTCCATTCCTTTCCATTCCTTTCCATTCCTTTCCATTCCTTTCCATTCCTTTCCATTCCTTTCCATTCCTTTCCATTCCTTTCCATTCCTTTCCATTCCTTTCCATTCCTTTCCTTTCCATTCCATCCCATTCCATCCCATTCAATTCATCCACTCACTGATTCAACAATTCATTAACTCACTTGTTCATTATCTATTGCTTTCGGCGTTTAGTTCTGGATTCCTTGTTCTATTTCTGTCTGGCGGTTCTTTCTTGACGCATCTAGCGCGCTATTTGTTTCACTGTCCTGGTACCTCTTCTGCATTCATTAATCAACTATGTCTTTCTTTAATTCGTTTCGTTTGGTCTTTTTCCTACTACTGCATTGCTTTCTCTTTACCTAATTCTTTCTTGTCTTTCTATGTTCCTTTCTCGTCTTTTTATCTTTTCTTTGTGCTTGCCTGGTCTCGATCACCTGTTTGCTAGATGGTTTGGAGTATAGAGCCGCCCTGCAAAGAAACTATGGCCCCGGCCAAGAAACGATTATTGGAGATCCGATTGCAAGGCTTTGCGGGGGTCCTCGAGCGACTTGTTCTCCAACCAGTACTCGAGAGCGGTTGAGGCAAAGTCCTAGTAAACAGCAGCGAAGATCCACGAACCCTCAGAGCTAGAGTTTGTACCTCTGTAGTGCAATGACAAAGACCCCACTCAGCTGAAACCCTTTTACCAGGTTTAGAGTGGCTGAGCTTGACTCAATAACAAAAACCCATTATGAAGAGCCAACATCAAATTCTGAGCCGAAAACATGCTCAGTAGAAAAATGCAACCTGGCCCTGAAGCCATACTCCTGCAAACTTGTGTCTTAGAAGCAGAGGGAAACTTGTATTGTCCTTAGTTTTCTCTCCATTTCGGGTTTAGGGCTTAGGGTTTGGGGTTTGGGGTTTAGGGATTAGGGTTTACGGTGTTTCTAAGACAACACAGAGCCCCCCCAAAACAATGGGGCCAAACAAAACAAAAATGGTCCCCGGTAGGGTTGACAGGGACTTTGCTTATCATGCTGGCAGGTTGCTGAAGTGTCACCCCACCGATTTGCGAAGTCTTCCTCGCCAGCAAGAGATTGAGCTTGAGTCAACTCCCAATATGACATATGAGCCTTCGTTAAGATCCCTGTATATCTCCCGTAAAGGCAAAACAGGAACCCGTCTACCGTAGCGCCTGCCTAGCCCGGCCATGTCAGTTTTAGTAGGCTTCTGCTGATTCGTTTTATTCCAATCCTGCACTCATAACTTTAAATCAAAGGGGTAGCTGACGGTAGCTGCGACAGTTTCGAGCTCAGGCTTGAAAGATGTAGAAGTCCAGGACTTTCGTACAGGTTGGAGAGGATGATGCATAGAAATCACCGTGTTGGGTTTTGAGTTGCCTGGGATGGTTCCAGTCAGCACAAGTCGCAACTTGAAGCTCTTGATGACGTCCCGCAAGACCATTCACCCTGAACTATGACCCTGTGCCTTCAACAATCATCTGTAAAGGAAGAATGCTTCTCCCTAAGCCCTTACATTGTGTGCTCCGGAGACTTCCTACCCAAAACTCCACGAGTTTTCGGCTTCGCGCTTCGAGGGGTGTAAAACAAGGAAGAGTTCAAACTGCTGTACTAACTTCTGGCCGGTTGTCGGTGGAGGGTTTGTAGACCCTGTATTCTTGCAAGTTGAAATGTCCTCTACCACTGTCGAGTCCTGGCGGGCAGCCAAAACGGAGCACAAAACTCGATGCAAGAGCTACGGGGAATTCTCTAAGCCTGCCAGCGTGCGGCAGAGTATAAGGCCAAGAAGCATGTAGTCAACAAGAACAAGCCAGCCTACCACCTGAAATTCAATCAAAAGGCCCAACCTTGGGAAAGCCATACTCCGTCCCAACAGCTCACAACCCTCGCAACATGACGCGCCCCCGGCGCACTGGTGCACCAAGGGTGGGGGAGTGGATATAGGCAATATACTAACAGGGGCGCTTGCTGTGCCGATATGACGGAGAGTTGAACCACTAGCTGGATGGCTCGTGGCACGTGAGTCCCTGCAGATTAACCAAATTTGTGGCTGCAAACTGCGGACTCACCAGCCACCCGCGAGGTTTGGGAGAGCTGGGGTCATTTTGGGGTCATTTTGGTCAACCCTATCTTACCGCCAAGGCCCTAAACCCTAAACCCAAAACCCTAAACCCTAAACCCTAAAACCTAAACCCATAAACCCCAAACCCCAAACCCCAAACCCCAAACCCCAAACCCCAAACCCCAAACCCCAAACCCCAAACCCTAAACCCTAAACCCTAAACCCACCCAAACCCGTCCAAATCCATCCTAACCCATCTGAACTCCCAAACCCTGGGCATATCCCATCTACACTTCAGACCATCCTTCAGGTCGTAGAAGCGCTGCCGCAGCCGCCGCCGCCGTTCTTTGGGCAGCTCGGCGACCTCGTCTTTACCAGGGCTTCTGGGTTGCTGATCGCTGATAGGGTTTAAGGCTGCTTGGAGAGTATGTGGGGCTTCTGAGGGTCTTCGCAGATAGGCTTTGGAAAGTCTAGAGGGCCTTGAGGGTTCGGGGCTCAGGGCTCCGGGGGCTCCGCGGGCTCAGGGGGCTCAAGCGTTTAAAAAGCTCAGGGTTGAAGTGTAGGGTTTGGGGCTTCTTGCATTTACAGTGATTATAGGGCTTATAGGGTTTACAAGGCTTGTAGGGTTTATAGGGCTTATAGGGTTTATGGGGTGTTAGGATATATGGGATCCAAGTTTAGAGTGTAAAGCTGAACAAGTTGATTTGGGGCCGGTTAAAGCTTTCGGGCTTGACACAGTGAAGGGTTTAGGGTGAGAGTTTGGGCTGTTTCCCGGCCAAGAAGCTACATCGTTGAAGAGCCCTGGCATCCCGAGATCACAGTACCCCCAAGGCCCTAAGGCCCTAAGGGAAGAAGGTCGCAAGACTAACGCCCCTCAACTCAAACCCTGGATCCAGCCCTAAACTCCCAACAAAAAGCCATACTCCCGAGCTCGGCCCTAAAGGCAGACACAAGCACTTGAGGGGTCTTAGCTTCGGAAGTCTGGAAAATCAAACCCTTGGGAGTTGTCGCAGTGACAATGCAGTGCAGGTGCAGGTCCTGACCTTCGCATTCTCTAAAGGACATCAACCCGATCCTACAACCCCGCATCCCAAGCTGGAGCGAAACTCCTAAAGCTAACAAGAAGAACAACAAACACGTTCGCAATAACAATGTTGGTCCGAATAAGAACAGCAACAGCACTACGAATGCGAAAAAAGAGAAGTATGTACATATAGTATACACACGAACTTATTCCTGAATGTTGCATATGTACGAACTTCGGGGCTCCCGACCATCTGCTGGCACCATCGGCGCTGGGGCTGGCGCATCCAGTTCTGAGGGGGGGCTGGGGCTTAGGGTTGGGGATGTAAAGGCCCTCTTTGTTCGTCCGACTTGCGCCTCTCCTTGAAATCAGTTGTGTTTGGGGTTGGTGGCTGAGGCTTCGAATTCCTGTGGGGTCCAAAGCACTTGTCAAGCCTCGTGGGTCGCATCTCCGTGGCATGTCTCCTGACCAGATGCGCTGGACTCTGCTGGCTTCACCCAAAAACCCTTCAACCAGTAAACCCAGTCCAGCGCAGTCTAAGTCAGAGGTTTATTGAAGGGTGGGGAGCTGCCCAGTAGCCCCCACTTGCACTCTCAGACGGGATTTTGGTTGCATGCATCCCTTGCTACATGAAGTCCTTAAACTTTAAACTCTAGGCCACCTACAAGCCAGGGGTGGTTGGACAAGACAGTTGCTCCTGCGGCAGCTGATGGGACTCAGGTTCGGAGCTTTAGGACTACGGTGGCTGCCTGTGAGCAAGCCGGTGCATCAAAAAGTACTCCGATTGTAAGTGCTGATGCACAAGCAAACCTCTGAATGGAAATAGAGGAAGAGGAAAAATGGGCGTTCCTGAAAACGGTTCAACAAAACGTGATGGCCAAAAACAGTTAGTAGAAGCGGACGAGACCGTGACAGCCAAAGACAGTAGAAGCGGACGAGACCGTGACAGCAAAAAACAATGGAAGCGGACGAGACCGTGACGGGCAAAAACAGTACTGTAGCAGCGGACGAGACCGTGACGACCAAAAACAGCAGAAGCGGACGAGACCGTGACGGCCAAAAACAGTAGAAGCGGACGGACGAGACCGTGACGGGCAAAAACAGTACTGTAGCAGCGGACGAGACCGTGACGGCCAAAAACATTAGAGCGGACGAGACCGTGACAACGACGACAAGGTTTGCGTGACAGCCAAAAACAGTAGAAGCAGACGAGACCGCGACACCAAAAACTGTAGAAGCGGACGAGACCGTGACGGCCAAAAACAGTAGAAGCGGACGAGACTGTGACGGCCAAAAACAGTAGAAGCAGACGAGACCTTAACAGCCAAAAACAGTAGAAGCGGACGAGACCTTAACAGCCAAAAACAGTCGAAGCGGACGAGACCGTGACAGCCAAAACAGTAGAAGCAGACTAGACCGTGACAGCCAAAAACAGTGGAAGCGGACGAGACGTCACAGCCAACAGCAAAAACAGTAGAAGCGGACGAGACCGTGACGGCCAAAAACAGTAGAAGCGGACGAGAGCGTGACAGCCAAAAACAGTAGAAGCGAACGAGACCGTGACAGCCAAACACGGAGAAGAAGTTATCTGCGTCTTTTTTTGGTTATCTGCGTCTCTTTTTTTCATGTTGATGGCGTCTTTTTGTTCTGCTGATCTGCGTCTTTTTGGTCTTGGTTTCCTGCAGCGCGTCACGCTTTTGCTTCCACCGTGGGTTATCTGTGTCTTTTTTTGGGGGTCATCTGCGTCTTTTTGGCTTTTTGTGTTGAGGGTTTAGGTTTTGGGAGAGGGTTTGGGGTTTCAGGGTTGAGTGTGTATGCTTGCAGGATTCCACGGCCTGGGTCCCCGGATCAGGGGTTGAAGGTTTTGCAGGTTTGGGGCTTAGGCTTTAGAGGGAAGGAACCGCAAAGAGAAGGAGTTCTGAAGGGCTGCCACTGTACCACCGAGGACATATCCGTACATATTGTATATATATATATATCTATCTATCTATCTCTACTTATCTTTGATCTACATTTATACCATCCTTGTGATCCCTCAAAAACCAGCCAAGACCTGTACCTTATATTCTATCAGCTTGCCCGAAAAGAAAAAGACACAGATAATGCAAAAGAAAAAGACACAGATAACGCACAAAAAAATGACACAGATCACGCGAAACGTCACAATGAAGCAAGCTGTTCCTCGAGACGTCACCACAAACAGCTAAAAAAAGACACAGGCAACACAGAAAAAAAGACACAGGTAACCCACAAAAAAGACACAGATCACCCCCCTTTCCGCCAAACACAGTAGAAGCGGACGAGACTGTGACAGCCAAACAGCAGAAGCGGACGAGACCGTGACAGCCAAAAACAGTAGAAGCGGACGAGACCGTGACAGCCAAAAACAGTAGAAGCGGACGAGACCGTGACAGCCAAACACACTAGAAGCGGACGAGACCTTGACAGCCAAAAACAGTAGAATCAACTCCTAAGAAGGAAAACCAGCCCACAGCCAATCTCGGCCTTTGCAAGGGTGGCCAACAATGCTTCGGCATCTGCTATGGTCCTTGTGGGGCTGACCTGGGCTCCAACCCCAGACGCCATCCCTGGATCCAAGCCCGTGAAGGCCGAACGCGAAACTCTGATGATAATAATCCTATAGGCCTATAGGTCGCAGCTGCACAGAATCTTGGTTCCCCCCTCATGGCACTTTGAGCTTCGGGTTGCAAAGGACATGATGCAAGCTTGACCACAGAGAGGCCGTTGAGGGCCGCGCAGGGGTCTTCTGGAACTGAAACGTCAGCTCTCCTGCGCATTGAAGGCTTCAAGTTTTGCTAAGGGGTTCACAGGGTTGGGTTGGTTCAGGGTCCTGTCCCTGTGGCTCCGAAGCCCTGAAAGAAGACAAGCACAAAAAACACAATCCACCTGCGGCTGCCATGTTCCTTCGCGTCACGAAGTAGCAGCGGAGCAAGGCTTTTGAAGTGCCGAACGGGGTCAATTTGGGCGCTTTGGGGTCTTTCGGGGATGGTCTCCTTGTCCCGTCTCAGCATCCGCAGCTCTCCTGGGCAATGGCTCCGGGTTTTCTCAAATGCGGACTCAAAGTCTTCTTGAAGGTATAGTGGACTGCGAGATGACTCAGAATGATCGGCTTGAGGCTTGAGAGCCTTAGGGTTTGCGAATTGCTCCCGAGCCTTCCGAGCCGAAATCCTTTACCCGCACAAGCCCTGCATCCACAAACCCTAGAATCCCTAAAACAGCTCTGTGCAGAATCCTTAAACCCTGAACCAAAAAGAACCTAAGAAAAGCGAGTCGAAACTCTCGAGCTCGAGCTTGAGGGCGGATTGCGCATTTCACGGGGGTTGCTTAACGGAAGCACCGAGACCCTCAAATCCAGGCCCCAACAGGGGCCCCCGCAGTCGCAGCTTTGGCTTGATGTGACTCAGGTCCACCACACCCTCACGCTTGACCTTGCTTTGGGGGAGGCACTCTACATGTGGCACCTGCGTAATACCATATTCCGGCTCCCCAAAATGCACATCATCTACACAAGATGTAGAGTGTAGAGCTTGGGATCTGGTGGGTACATTTCATAGAGAATCCTCCGATGCCATTCATGTCTCTGATATTTTCAGATGGCAGATGTGTCTGGACAGGGTCTACCATCCAAAAATGGCTACTGCTTCTTGCAGCGGTCAGTTCGCAAGCAATGCAAGACGTACAGGCAACTTAACTTACACCCGCTCCACAGCTGAGCAGGCCCAAGCACAGGAAGGAGCAGCAACCTATGAAGACTTTGGGTGAACAACGAAGGCTTGAAGCGTGCGTGGCCATGACATGTGTAAAGCTGCACACTGCATGAAAGAGAGTACTTCGCAACAAGCTAGTGCCTTGAAGGGAGCCTTTTTCAGGTACAGGATTGCTGACACCTGGGCTTCTGTTCGTTCAAACAAAGCAGACGCGGATGCCTCGACCTGCCGCGGAGGGCTCCGCTTGCGCTTTGCCATGGCGCTCGGCCCCGTTTGGGTTTAGAATCCGTCACTCTTCAGGGATTAAGGCTCGGAAGGGCCCCCAACTTATCAGGTTTGGGCTCATTTCTTGGGGTTGAGAGCGCCGTCTTCGAGCAATGCTTCTGTAGGCACCGCTAGAAGATGGAGTCCATTTGTTTCTGTGAAGCATGGCACAGGAATGAGGCACGGTAAATTCACTTGCCTCGTGAGTGCGTTACGGAGTTGTAAAGATATCCCAAGCTGTGCAATATGGGAGTTGTCGTCTTCCTGACGTACTGAAGATGTAACAAGATCAAACTCTTCGAAAGCGTGACACGGTGCTACTCGGATAAGAGAGAAGCTTGCGCCTCGTGATTGCCGTCAGTGGCTTTGTGAAGAGCCAGCACAGGAGCAGGCACATTCCGCATCGCATCGCCCTGACCCCAAGCCCCCTCGACCTGACTACGACTAAACCTCAAATCTCATGCAAGCCTTGCACCCAGAAGCCCCTGGACAGACTTCTTTGACTCGGTTTAAAAGCCCCAGGATGCTCCACAAACTCAACATCTCGAAAGCCCAACCGAAGGGCTTAAGTTGCTTAAGCCTTTGGAAACTAGTCAGGGCTGCCAGTCGTGGCCGGACGACCACCACGCCCTGGCAAAGCAAAAGATGAAGACAAGTGACGTTGGTCTAGGGTTCGGGCTTTAGGTTTCAGGGTTCCGCTGACCTTTCGGCACCATTCATAGGGGTTTAGAAGCCTCTCATCTGCGTTTCGAGGCTCAGTCTTGGTTTGAGTACAGTGCCGCTCTAGTCTTCAAGATCGTCGTTGCCAGCGAACTGCCACCATTCTAGGTGGGGATAAGTCTCAGCTAGTACTCTCAGCTGGCATGCCAAGCATTCGGAAACTAACCGTGGGAGGCTACTTGGATTGAGCAAACTTTTGGATCTTGCACATGGGCTTTATATGGATTGCAAAGCCAGCTTTCGGACGTATTGAGTTTTGGTATCTACAGTTTCTGCAACCCCTGTTTCTACACCACCCACATCGAGCGCAGATTTTTATGTATAATAGCCACGACTGCAGTGAGCAACAAACCCTATCCAAGAACCTCCAAGTAGGGGATTGAGATTGCCAGCACTGTCCACACCTCACACCTCGAACCTCTACTGCAAGCCCTTGAACAAACAAAGACGCTAAATGCCCTAAAACCCTAAACCTCCTTGACCGTAGACCCTGCACCGCAACCCTGGACCCTAAACAGGCGCCTCCGCACCCTCTTCTTCAGAGTCTGCCTCCTGCCCTGGGAGAGGGGCTTTGTTGGAAACCGGGCAGAGTTGTTCTACAGTATAGGCAACTTTCAATAGGACCCAACTCACATGTCGCATGTAGGGCCAAGGTAGGGTTTTGGGCTGCAGGGTGTAGACTTTGGGGAGTCAAGCCCATGGGGATCAACATACGGTCGAGATGTCACCCAAGTTGTGTTCATCTGCGTCAAGGCTATGAACTCAGTAGACCAATCCCGGCATGGGCCCTGCAGCGTTGAAAGTTCTGAGGCCTCCTCTGCAACCCTTAAGTGTCGCTACACATCCCCACCAAGCTGCCAGATTCGCCATCTGGCCGGGAAACCGCGGATCTGACTGGCCTTTCGTAGCACTTTGCACGGAACCAACCCTAAGCGCTAAGCTCTGACAGCAAAAGAAAGCGGCTTTGTATTCAGACTGTACAAGACAGCGACAAGCTCACAGCTGCGGCCAGAGTGTAATGCGAAGCCTCCTTCGCTCCAACGCGAAGAGCTCGTCCATGGGCGGCTGTCCGAGGAAAGCCTAATTCGGGAACACGGTAGGCTGAAAGAGTCCGGTCCTGCAAGTCCAGTCCCCCCACCAGTGGCCTAGGCAAAAGAGAGCCCGTCCGCTGGAGTGAGTTTATCAGCGTTTGGCTAGGGTTTGGGGTTTAGGGTTTAGTTTGCAGGGTTTAGGGTTAAGGCGTTAAGGCTTGGGGTTGAGGACCTCCCAAACCCTAGCACAGAGCATTGGAGAACCCCTGGTCTTGAGCTCCCTAAACACGAAAACTTCTCAACTTCTCAATGCCACATGGGGGCTCTTTGCTTAGGTTGAGGGGGGTCCTGTTATTCAGGAATCCGACTTTACAGGGGCACCTGAAACCCTGAACCCTATGTTCGAACCGCATGCTCAGGACGCAGGCGGCCCAGCTCCCAAAACGTTTGAGGACGGCCTCCTGGACGGCGCTTGGAGGCTCTGCATAGAGTCGTTCGAAGGGCGGGGGGGGGGGGGGGGGAGAGCGGAGCAGGGTAGGTTGCAAGTATCGTCAAGATGCTATTGCCAGCTTTAAAAAAGTCCAGCTATCCTAGGACGCTACTGACGAACAACCCATGAACCTCCACGTGGTCTTTCGTGTTTGTTTAGGGGATTTTGGGTTTCAGGGGCTTGAGGTTTTACCGTTTGGCAGGCAGGGGCATTTGATGTTCCTCGTGAAGCAATGAAGAGCCTCAAGCGAAACCACGTGGTTGCAACTCCCTGCCGTAAACGCTGATCCCGAAAGAAGCACTGTGAGTCCGAAATGCTAAACCCAAGACCCTACACCCTAAATCCTGATCGCAAAACCCTGCTACTCTATCGGCTCCTGCATACATATATGTATATATATATATATATATACATGAATACATAAATACATATATACATATACATAAATGAAGTAACAAAACAAACAAATAAGAAGATAAAGAAACAAATACACAAACTTAAACACATCCAAATAAACAAAAGCATGTATGTGTGTATATATATATACACATACAACATGTATACATACACGAGCAAATTCCCCGGCCGCACCTCGGCGGGCACCTTCCGCGAGAGGAGGCCAAAGGTCTTCTTCGACACCGGAACGCCGCCTGGAGTTGAGGGGTTGGAGGTGCACGGTCTTGCGCTTCAGGGTTTGGAGTTTAGAAGGTTCAGGACTTAGAGGGTTCAGGGTTACGTGTGTTTAGGCGCTGGACTCGCGAGCTTAAGGCTTGGGCAACTCTAAAGGATTCAGATGTAGGATTTGGGGTTCAAGAGGTTGAGGAAACCACCGCCAAATCCTGCGCGCGTGCCCAGATCCCATTCTAAGATTCTCGAGAGGGTAGTGTCTCCTGGGGATCAAGCCGCAGGAGCCCACTCATCCCCATCATTTTCCCTCGAGACTTCTGACGTGAACGCAAGCGGCCCCTTAACACCCTGAGCCTGAACCTACATCTATAGACAACCCTGAATGCGACAAGCCCTGCAACCAGAGAGCTCCCAAAGCCCAGAACAGCTGCCCTAAACACGCTCAACCTCCCTCTCTACCCTAAGCCCCCAACCATAGAACGAACAAACCAATACACTCGGTCGCCTCGGCCCCAGGGAGCTCGGAACGCTGCCGCTTCGGCACCCGCTGGGTCGGCGAATTGCGGCTCCGCTAGATCCAAGGCCTGCACAGGAGGCTTAGGAAGATCTTGGAGGCAAAGTTGAAAGGGCCGGGTGCAGGGTTCATGATTCAGAGTGTCGGTCTGGGGATGAGGGTTTAGGGTTCTGGCTTTAGGGGTTGCATGGGGGGGTTCTCGGATTGAAGGGTGGGGTGTAGGACTCAGGGGCTCGGAACTTAGGGTAGGGCAGGAGCAGCTTTGCGGGCAGGCCTCGTGCTCCCAAATGCCAGAGCCCACTGTCTCTAGCGGCTTGCCGATTCCTGGCGGAGGAGCTTCGTGCAGCACACAAAGCACAAGAGGGTTGTTGGCTCAAAGGCTGTCACAAACCGCATCGTGTTGGACATCGCTTCTGCCGGTGGTTCCTGGAATCCCCCCTGAACAAGTTCTGAACAAGGTGCCCTGTGTCTGCAAGGCCAAGAGAAACTTGGGGAACTTGGGGGCATTGCTTGAGCAGATGCATGCGACAAGCACTGGATTCCACGATAAGGCCCCTAAACCGCCAACCCCAAACCCGCAACCTTAAAACCTGAACCCCAAAACCCCAAAACCGCAAAACCCCACACGACCCTCCCCCGACATGCTGAAGGCCTCGCAGCTGCGAGTCTGCCAAGAGCTGGCCAACGCTTGGGGAGGGTGGGCAGAAGGGGTTGCTCTGAGTTTGGGAGCCCCTCTCCAGGTAGAGGGTCTTGTAGCAGGACACTACGGTAACAAGGGACCCTGGTGTAGAACCCGTGGAAGAGCTGCAGAGTAAGCCTTTGGGGAATGGGCTCTCGCCTCACAGTCGCACTATCAGTGGGATACGGTTTCTCCTTAAGCCCCTTAAGCCCTGTTAGACTCGGTGCTTTCAAGCTTTCGAGCAAGGGCTGGCGCGGGGGTGAAGGGTGGACCTTGGTGGCCAAGTTATCAGGGAACAGCCCATACCGGCCCCAGCTCCCCAAGCCCTGCACTGCTTTAGCGTGGTGCTGGGATACCGGAAGTTTTGAGCGCCAGACCCACTAGACCTGAGAGCTCGCCCAGACCCCCTAAACCACGAACCTCCGCAGCCAACCCCCTGCACCTCGGGGGTATCAGAGTCATTAGGGCTCAGGGCCGCCTGGACATGGAGCTGCCGGGCAATGTGAAGCAGCTGCCGGTTGAAGAACTTGGCCTACAGCAGGAAAGAACACAGCTGGGATTTTTGCAAAGATTGCAAGCTTCGGAGTTACCCAAAACCCTATATACACCCTTGCAGACGGAACAGGGTCGGATATTTGAGGGTGGGTTCGGTCAGTACCACCCCAAAGCTTCTGACACACGCAGGTTCGGATGAAACTCCAGCGCCTTGACAAGGTACTCTGCATCGTTCGTCTTGTCCTCGGCCAGCATTGGTTTGTCCCAGGTCTCTCGCTGTAGGACATTACGGGCTACATGCCGATGCTCAAGACTGGGCACGAAACAGCCCACTGCCCATTCGCTACCACAGCCCGAGTCAACCAGGAGACAGCGAAGACTCAGGGTTCTGCCGTGTCAAGGTGCCGCATGCTGACCACCTCAAAGATCTGAAAGGGGTTCAAGAACTAGGTAAGACGGACATGTTAAACCTCGGAACCAAGCATTGAGACGCGCGCGCTCCATGAAAAGATGCGTTTGCCCTACGAGGCAAGCCTCTTCTTTGGAGTATATAAGCCTTTGCAGCAAGTTGAAAGCTGCTTTAAGACAAGCTTGGCGATAAGTGAAATAGTTAGAACACGGGGTTTTGCCATGTTTTGCCAACGCAGAAGCTGAGGTTGTTCTGTGCTTCTTTTGAAAACACCGACCTTGTCGTGCAGGGATGCCGGAAACTTCAGCGGCGCCCGCAGGGCCTCTGCTTGAGTGGGGGAGCGGGGTGAGGTTTAGGTTGGGGGGTCTGGGCTTTAGGATTCGCCAAGCAGCCTCAGCTTCAAACTTGGGCTCTAAGCATCAGCTTCGAGGGGGCTCAGATATAGGGGCCTATTTGTCTGGAATGGTAGTTCGGATGATGATTATATGGGGGCTGAAGCGAGGACAATTAAGCTAGGTAATGATTTTGGCTCCTGAGCTCTGTAGCATGTATAGGGCTTGAGCCAACCAGCCCATCCCATAATTTCAGGAACACGGGCACGGGAACGCGCCTTCAGAGCTGTCGTCTTGTCGCGGAAGCTGACGTAGGCTGTACCCTGAAGAGCAGAATCGAAACTGAAGGACAAAAAGGAACCCTGACTTAGAGAAGGCAACCTAGGTTCCCAAATCTTGTCCAAGAAAAAGTACATCGTGGGGTTTGGAGTTGGAGGCTCTCTCCTGTGCAATTTGAGTCCAGGATTGAGGGTCTGGGGATTAGGCTTTGCAAGCCGTATCGAGCTGTGCTGAGCCCATGCTTCCGTGAGCAGTCTAAACACCCTTGAGCCTTAACCCGAAGCCCCAAACCCGCAACTCGAAAATCCCGAATTGAAAATTATATTATGCCACTGTACACCCCCACGAAAGAACGACTTGGATGCCTCCAGCCACGAAAAAAGCCCGGCACCTAGGCCGAGAGCACGATTCCACCCAGAATAACCACGAAATACACACGGGCGAGTCGACAACATCCTCGGAGGCCAAATCAAAAGCATGTAATCTGCGATGTTTCGAAACCCGGAATCCGCGCCCAAGCGTTGCGCTGTGGAAAAAGTAAGTGCCGCGGGGACGCCGCGCGAATAACTCAATCTAACTCTCCTGTACTCTGACCGTAAGAACCCCATAGTGACCATAGTGTTGGCACACTGGGGAATATAGACGTAAACATGCATGCAGAGAGAATGTGGTTTTACAGAGGCGTCAACAAACACGTGTATAAGCATATGAGCCGCGCCTCGCACTGGTAGGGGTCCAGCGGATGTGGCTCAGCTCTGCACTGCTGTACCTCTTATATGGCTCTTATGGCTCTTATGGCTCTTATGGCTCTTACTTCGTTGCCTGCCGAGCTTGGGGGGCTGTGGGTGGTCTTGGGTAAAAGGAGACTTGGGTTTCGGGGCCCGGTGTACAATGGCACACACCCACGTAGACATGCAAAATTTTGAGCTCAGAGCACCTAACCTCAAGCTTTAAACATCCTCTGGACACATGCAGGGTTACAGTAAGGGCTGATGCGCGAAACAGAGCAAGAAGGAGCCTGTCCCAAAGTCTCAAGTGCTCTGAGAGGCCCCGGTGCTGCCTATTGTCCAAGCCCAAGTTCGCTCAGGCTCGAAATCCAATACCCTCAACCCTCAGGGCCCCATCCCGAGGCCCTGCTTTTCTCCAGGGAAACGAAAGCCGCGGCCGAACTCTCGGCGTGTTGCCTAGCAGAGGTATAGTGGCTTGGGATAATAAGAGGTTTAGAGCTTGCAGTATAGGTTGGGGTTGAAGAATACTGGGTTTAAGGATTTGGCGGCGTTCGTGCTTTAGCCAGGAAGTGAAGCTCAGGTCGTGTAAACAATGGCCACGCAAACGAATGCGCTCTTCTAGCCAATCATTCTGATCCTGAAAAACCATGAGTCGAAGCCCCACAGCCCGCATGAACAAAATGCTGGAAACACCAAGGCCCTAATGCCCCGACACCTCTGAATGCTAAATTATGAGCCCAGCTTCGAAACCCCTTGAAGGGCCCACAGAGCAGCTCGCACTGGGGTAAGTGAGATCCCCAGTCCTGGGTTTTATGGGGTCTGGGCCCAACCCCAACCACCCCTATCATCCCCACCCAAAAACGATAACAAAAACTTTCTAACATGACTAGGCACTCATACTCGCGGCACTCTGGGGGGTGGCCACTCTAGCAATACGTGGCGGGACTCTTTTGGCTTCGGTGGGGGGGCAGTATACTCGGCGGAAAGCAGTCTGTAGGCACTCTAGGGATCCTCGGCGGAACGCCCTGGGCGTGGGCACTCCAGGCACTCCACGAGTACAGACTCTCTGCGGGCTTCTTCGGGAGTGAGCACTGCAGGGACCAGGAGACCAGGCCCAGGATGCAGGGCGAGGAGTGGGTGAGGAATAATTGCAGACTTTTTCCCCTAGGCCTCCGAAAACCCCCATGAAATTCCCGAGCCTTGACCCCGCAAACCCGCTGAACTCCAACTGAAGCCTGAAGGCCAGGCCTGTCACTTCCCAGCTTGACATTCGGACCGCAACCTGCGGCTCGACTTGACAAAGTACAAGTGCTGTGGTTTTTGGAAGGGTTTTCCCTAAATGGCGGCTGACAGGCATGCCGCAGAGAAATCACCCAGCCGGAGAGCGGTGCATGGTTGGCAATGCTTCCCAGCAAACACAAAAAACGTCGGGTGATTACCCAACGAGGAAACCAAAAGCCACAGAAAGTGAGTGTAAGGCTTCAGGGAGGACTTGTCTCTGCTTCAGGGGAGCATCAGGAAGCGAAAGCAAACAGCGGGAATTCAGCACCTCACTCAAGAAGGCTTGTGCAAGCAACCCGCCACGTCCAGCAACGCCCAGCCTGAAGCAACAGCTGCAACGCAGAGCTGCTCGAACAAGCCTCAGCTCGTACAATTTGCCGGGAAGTCTCGCGGACTCAGACCACAGTTCGATTTCGCGAGGCCCTAGGGTTTAGGATGTTTTGGCGCCCTAATTCACAAGGTCCCCCCAACTCACAGGGAATACTTGGGGCCACCCCTATGGTTCATGTGTTTCACTGAGTGTGGGAGAGCGCTTGACCCTCCTCAACTGGTATAAGCCTCTCCGAAAGCATTAAAGAGCCTCCTGAACGGGCCAACCCCAAACCCTACCTTACAAAGCCGTCGCTACGCAGGCTTTGAAGCATAAACTCTTAACCCAAAGTAGCCTGCTTCCGTGCAACCGGATCTGAGCCCATGGCATCTTTGCGCAGGCTTTGCTCTGAACTTTGGGTCGCGCCTTTTATGGGGTTCAGGGCTTAAGTCCAGGGTGCACAACCCGAAGCCCCAAACCCTACAGTGGTAACCCTCCCCCCCAAAAACAAAAAAGGAAAACACGTTCAGGTGTCTTCTTGAAGACTCATCATGGGTAGCGTTAAAGCTTAACAGTGGGCCACGTAAGGCTTTCTCCGAATAGCGCAACATGGTGTCATGCGGTCACGCTGGAAGTCTGATGGGATGTTGGGGTATGGTGTGCCAGCTGTGCTCATTGAGGCTCTACCGGTCTTCCGGCTTCGGGTTTACAGAATTTTGGGTGGGTAAGCGTTTATGTTAAGCCCAAACTGTGTACTGCTGCCGGTAACACCTCACTCGACAGACGCAAGAATAAGGATTTCATTCGGCACTCACTACGTGCCCAGCATGGGCCGAGCCATTCGATTGCAAAACTCAGCCCCTAGCCCAGAAAGACTGGCTTAGAAACCCCTAGCGCAGTCCCAAAGCACAAAGAGTGGCCGAATGGACTGAACTCCTCTCATGCTTGGCAGGGTTTTCCAGGGGGGTTGGGGCTTGAGACCAGAATTTTCTTTCGGGGTTCGACATTGCGGGTTTTTCCTTAGCAACCACTCCCTGGTCTCGGGCCTCCGCTTGCTTCAACAGCGGCTTGCTGGCATCTTCCAAGGCAGTGACCTAAGGTACACAGCACGGCCCCCAGATGGAAAAGGCACCCCGGCAACGGACTATTGTTCGGAGAGCTGCCCACAATATGCGTTAAAGCACGAGACAGTGGCTTCACCAGCAAGTTGTTTTGCCTGTTCGTGACAGCTAAAGGAAGACGTCAATCCGATCTGCCTCAGGTTAAGTCTTCACCCGGTGCGAGCAAGCGCACAATCTCGTCGTGACCATTGTTGGAGGCATGAAGGAGAGCGGTCTGTCCAGAGGCGTCTCTCATGTCCTTGTCGGCCCCAGCCTCGACTAGTAAGCAGGCAATGTCGAGGTGGCCTTTGGCAGCTGCGCAAATAAGAGCGGTTCGGCCGCTGATGTTGGAGGAGTCCTTGTCAGCACCAGCCCTCAATAGTAAGCGTGCACTTTCAATGCGGTTGTTGTTGGATGCACGGATGAGCGCAGTGTTGCCGTAGCTATTCCTCTCGTCCAAGTCGGTGCCAGCCTCGAGCAGCACTGCCACTGTCTCAACCTGGTCTTCCGTGGATGCTCGGATAAGGGCCGTGTTGCCATACCCGTCCTTACAACCGGCACCAGACAATAAGCGCACGATCTGGGCGTGGCGCCTTGCTAAAGCGCAATCAAGCACTGCCGCGCATCTAGATCCATCCACATATTCCAGAAGCAAGCGCATGATCTCAAGATGACCATGTTCGCATGCGCCAAGCAGAGCCTGGTGGAGGTCAGGCCATGAGAACTTAAACTTGTCATTGTGGAGCCGGCGGAGGCGGCGGAGCTCTCGTTGCGAAGGCCGGGCTGGAGGCAGCGCTGGTGGCGGCTCGAGGCGGGCTTTCTTGTTGCCGGAGCTGCTGACGGCAGTTTCCAAGAGCAAGCGTGCAACCTTAACATCATTGTGCACCGCAGCATAGGAGGTGAGCTCACATACAGCCTCCACATGCTGTTTCCCTCTCAAAGCAGACACTGGTACCAACACCAGCTGCACGTCCACTGGTGGATCCGGCCAAGCACCGTCTTCCAGCTGACTGCCCTCGTGCATGAGCTGTTGCATGCAAATGGGGAGCCCATGCCTTGACCGCTCTTACCCGGAAAAAGTGTGCACTTATCAACCTCTAAGAAAAAGAAGCAACAGAGCAATCGAAGACTGTCAACAAAGATGCTGGTCGCGGAGATGGCGTTTCATGCTGTCGATGGGGTTCATGCCATCCATGCCAGCCAAGGCCTCCATCTTCTCGGCGGCCAGCTGTTCCCCCGAGACGTTCCACACGCGGATCATGCTGACATGTGGCTGGAGCTGAAAAAGCAAAACATCATTCCGTTCCGGTAAAATGAAAAGACACTCTGCTTGCATTGCATAGCTGCACCTCTAGAGTCTGATACGTCATGTTCACGACATATCCCAACTGAACTCCTTCAGCCGGCGTGGCACTGTTTCAAGGATCTTCAAAGGAATGTTTCTGAAGCGGTTCCTGCCCGCCATTTCGTGAGAGTATACAAGACTGCACTGCTTGTGATCGCGCAAAGGCACTCCAGTTCATCAGGCGCTTTGGAATTGAACAACACCGCAGCGATCCCCAACTTTCTCGCAGCGGCAAGCACCACCGGCGACCGCTTACATCGATGTTGTTCCCATGTGAATGATCCAGTCCACTGCATGCACACCATGCCCTTCTTACGTGCAGCGGCAAGCGATATGGAACCAAAAAGCATGTGCATGCGCTAGTCTTTCACAAATTTCCTCCCCCCAACGTTAGAACCCGGCATACGCATGTTACCACGCCCCCAATACACTTCGTTAAGCCAGTACGGCATGTTGAGCGTTTTCATTCCCCAACTACTAGTCGAAGTCTCAACCCAAAACAGCAGAATATGCTCCGACAGCCCGGGGCGGTTCTTGCCCACCTCCGACCTAAGGCACGACCTGCCTGCATCTTGTCACCCTGTTGCTCACGACAACAATAAAGCCTATTTGATGTAAGGCTCGCAGCCAAGCTTTCGCCAACTATTTCATGACATTATTCAGCTATGCCCTGCAAAACTCGACGACCACTTCCTTTCCCCAGAAGCCCTAATCGGCCCTAATCCCAATGCTCGACATCTGTGCCGCTGGCGACAACTTTCACTGCAGGCGCAGCACCCATCGTGGGCCTTGGGCCACAGCAAGTTGTTTTTGGGGCTTGGGCTTGGGGGTTGAAGGGATTCCGCTTCAAGCGCAAGCGCTCAAGTCCAAGAATCTCGAATCGAATCCCGAAGCTCTAAACTCCTTAGACCTTTAAGCCCGCTATGATACCATGACTACCAAGAGACCCTGCGAACTCCAAAGCCGACCTCTCTCCCGTCTTTGGACCTTAAACCCTGGAAGATTGAAAGATCCCAAGCCCTTGAACAACTTAAAGCCCTATACCTGCGGCCCCAAAAAATCGTAGGCACTCTCCGCTCTGTAATCAAAAGCGTCCACCCAACAAGCGTTTTGGGGGTCTTGGGTTTAGGGTCAAGGCAGCTAGCCCTTGAGCTCCCTCGAACACTCAAACGCCCCATCTCCCGTGGGCCACATGAGTCCGGTGCCCTGAGGCAGCTGTTTTTGCGCCTGGGGAGGCGGCACGCTGCACCTGTGGCTTTGAGAAAGCCGAGATGACCAAAGGACTCCCACATTAGTTGCTGAAGTGCAGCCTTGAATCCCAATCTTCTTACCATTGCAACGTGCCTCATGCTTCTCAGCTCGGCGGTGCCACTTGAAAGGTTTGGACTTTGGGTTTGCAACTCCCGAACACCTTTAGCCTAAGCCTTACACTCCTAACCACAACCTCCCAGGCCTTCGCCGGGGTCTCGAAGATCTCAATCTCGCCTCGCAGAGTCCCAAAACTGCAGCATTGCAACATGCTCAAGCCTCACAGCCCTTTGGTGGGTTGAGGGTTCATACGGCTTTGACTCAATGGCAAAATAACCGCCTAAACCGTATGGAAACTAAAAAAGAGGACGCCGGCCACCTTCCTCGCTGGAGTCGCAATCGAAGATGTCCTCAACGATGAGGGCAAGCTCGAGGATCAGGGTTTAGGGTCTAGGGCTTTAGGGTTCAAGGCTTTAATGGGCTTCGGGGCTAGCCTGCTCTTGGGGCTTGCCTGATGCCGGACTACTGAACGGGGTGCAGAAGGGCTGAGCAACGTCTCGCATCTTTGCACGCTCTTTGGCAGAGCAAGCGCAAGCGCTTCTTTCCAGCTACTTCCATATCCAAACTCCCAGTATGAATGTAGAGCAACTGCGAGCGTGTCCTTGGCGTTCTGCGATGGCAGCTGCTCCTCCTGGCCTGTCCGGATTTAAGGCAGCTGCCTACCTACCGGTCACATATTGGTGAGAGGCGCCCAAGGATAGTCGAGCAAGCAGGTGCTGCCCTGAGCAATCTTGCGAAAGCCAGCACGCTGGAGAACTCAAGAAGGTTGGACAAGCAATATGATGAGAAGAATATCAAAGCAGCCTGCCTGACAGCTTAGCAGCTGTTGCGTTGCCACCTTTGGTGGACTCTAGCGCCTAGGCCCTCGATTGAATCTGCTGCAAGCCTACTAACAGCTAAGTCACCACGAAGACTGCTGTGGAAGCGAGACTATGTGGCAATCCCTTCAGGTAATGGCGGTCTGGTGCTCTGCCGGAGTCTTTCTGCTCAAGCCGAAGCTAAACAAGCGACGCATGTTTTTGGAGCAAAGCTCGAACCTGGCTTTCAAATTGAAGTTTGTGAGCCGGCCAGAATGGAGGTCATCAGTTTAGGGTTCCAGGCATTTAAAACCAGGGTCAAAGGCTCAAGATTTGTTAGGGCCCGGCGCAAGATCGGTGATCTAAGTGTGGCTTTTCGATGCTTGAGCTATGCTTCTTGGGTTTAAGGTCTGGCTACCAGAGCCAGATCCTCTCTGTGCGGGGAAGGGCCTCCCTTCTACACAGCTTCAAGGTTCAAAATGGTCTAGAGCTGAGGCTGTACACAAAGCCGCCCTGAACATAAACTCTGTTTGAAGCTCTAAGACTCTAAGCCCTAAACTAAACCCTAAACCCTTCAAACCCAAACCTTGAACAACCTTAACCTTGGTTCGCTCCCTTTAACTAAGCCCCTGCACCCTTTGTGTAAACCTTTTTGACCCCAAGCACCTTTTTGACCCTTTAAGCCTTAAACCCGAAACCCTCGCCAGGCCTGGTGAGGGTCTGGCTTCCTGCGAAGCTTGGCTGCTCTCCTGCGCACGTCATCTACATCTCAGACTTCTTTGACCAGCACCCAAGCACAAGGCTCCTCCGCATTTACGGCTTGTAAGACTCTCAAGAGGGCTGCTGGTAAGGCCCGTCAACATTTGGGAGACTGATAAGGCTGGCGGTGTGGAAGGGTATTCGTATCCTGGGATTCTGGGGTATCTACAGTAGGGCACTTGGCTTCTGGCTTGCGCAGGCCCAACATCCCAATTGATGTTCTCTTTTGCTTCAAAAGCCCCAGAGGCCGAAGCTCTCCAGCCCTGTAGCTCTAGTTCAACAGTCCTCCCCTTTAAAGTTGAACGTGCATACGGCCCCTGCAAATGCAACCAGCCAACCAACCCACTTTTTCCCATGATGTGCATCACGAACAACATCCATATGGGATCCGGATCCAGTGGACTCGGAGGTCCTGATCTGCAGCTTTGGCAGGAGCGCCTGCATGCTTCCAATGCTTCCAGGATTTCCCCGTTTCCTTGGGCGTTTGGACCTGTTTTGGTTTGGGTTGCTTGGGTGTTGGGTTTGGTTTGCAGGGGGTTTGGGGTCATGAATAAGGTGGCGCTATGGACTCGGGGTGCAAGAGTCTAAAGAGGTTAGGATTTCCTCTTCGAAGAAGTTGCTTGGGACAGTGTCGCCAGTAGATTCGCTTGCAAAATGAAACTGAAACGCCTAGTTGGCGACCTCGAGGAACAAAAGTCCATCCAGAATCCTGGCTCGAAAGCAGCCTCGCAACTTCCTCGACAAAGCGTCCTGAAAGCGCAGGTCCGCAAGTTAAAAGCATCACCACCAGGGAGGGAGGAGTTTTAAACACCAGAAAACCTTCAGAAACAGAACCATACACACAAAACCATCGCGTGGCCCGCTACAGCCATGCTGCGAGTCCGGCTGCATCCTTGTCAAAAGCATCAACCGCATCGACATCCGTGGTTCCGGACACGGGGTTGCCCAATATGGCTGTGCGATAGCAGCTTTCTGCAGTTGCCTCCAAGTGCCCTCAAAGCCCCGTGTCCCGCTCGTGGTCCATCGGCGCGTCAAGGTCAGCGTGTTGATGCATGCTCGCTGTGGCTTGCATGACCAGGCGGCCATTTGTCCAGAACTCCTTTGCCGCATTTCCAGCACAGCGAGCCTCCGACGCAAGCAGACACGGCATGGTCGCCATGCACCTTCGCTTTGTGGGAACCCTGCGAAGCTTTAGTTAGTCCCACAGTGCACACAGCAGTGTTTACCTCCTTTGGCTGGGTTGGGGATTTGCGATACGGCACCGCCCGCATGCTCACAAGCGTTGATGGCCGCCATCTTGTCGAGGACCAACCGTTTGGCAACACACTCTTGACCCAGGGGTTGTATTTAATTAGTGTGTTCAAACGAAGCAGTACGAGGTTCGTGGGAGTCTCATGCATGCCCATGCACCTACACCAATGATTCATTCCCCTGCTTTGGCCACTTTCCGCAGCCCCATGAACCTCAGGACAGCCCTAAAGCCCTGAAATCATAATCACATAAGTCCGATCTACCCGAAACCCGGACCCAAACCCCGAAGTCGCCTGTCTTGGCCTCACGCTGGACTGCCGCAACGGCCGCCTTGACCTTTGAGGAGGGGCTCGGGTTACATAGGCAGTCAAGGGTGTTGTGGGTCTTGCGAGCTTCTAGGCTTCTGCTCGGCTTCTGCTCTCGGGGCTCATAGGCTACCTTTCAGGGTGTCAGATACCTTGGACCTTTCTTTCACCGCCTTTTGACCAAGGAGCGCGGTTGTCGCACTCTTGTGCAGCCAGGAGCTGCTTCTGCTGAACCTGGCATTCCGAAATCGCAGACTGCGGGGAGCCCTAAAACGTGACCCTCAGCCCGGGCTTTGAGCTGTTGGGAGTCCTAACGACGCGAGGAGGCGCGCAAACGAGATCGATTGGCACTTCAACGAACTGGCACGAGATGGAGATAACCTGAGTTCACGGTGTGTTGAGAGGGCACGGCATCAACAAACAGGGATTTCAAAAGCAAAGCATGCAACTGCCTCACCATCTGCATCAGTCTACAGGCTCAAAGCTCCTAAGCGAA